AGGGAAAAACTTCTGTAGTTGTTCGGGTTCCTTCTACTTCCTTTGTTTCTATACAGACTTATGACATCAGTATTTATTCAGTGCTGTGGTATGGCGCTCGGGTTTTCCTAAAATTCATTCATTTTATTTAGATCTTTTTGATTTATTTCTCCTTTTTATCACTTTGGCAATTATACCATTGTTTGTTGGAGCTTTGTTATTTTTCATTCTTTTTAGGCTTTGCTTAAGATCTCTCAAGGTAAGGGGACTGTTGTTTTCACTCGTTTTATTGTTGTATTGTACATCAGAGTTTACTTTTCAACTAGTTTCTGATAATGATTTCTTATGTCTATCCATCCATTAATTTTTTTACCCTTTCACGTTCATAGCCTCTATTTCCGAGAGTCTCTGGAGCAATTTTTAGTTATTATGATTAGTACTATGAACATGTCATTTAAAAGGCGTTTCAAGGACTCTCATTTATTGATCTATGCATTCATTTTCTACCTTATCTTTTTAGTGATCTCATTTCTTATCTTGGCGTACGTTTCACCGTTCTCTTCAGTGGGGTTATCTAGCTACTTTTTCCTCAATTGCTTTTTTTCCTTTACTTCCTCTTTTAGCCGTCCATCAATATTTGTCTGTCATTCCCTGTTTGATGGCTTGTCTTTCTTCTTTTATTTCTCTTTCGCCATCTTTGTGATGTATTGCTATACCTGTGATAAGTAAAAATTGTCTTTTAGACAATTTGTCATCGCTTGTTCACATCCTTTCGATTTTATCTGTAAGTTTTTTCGTAATTGTTCTCCATCACTTTGGTCTTGTACACATGTTTCAACTTTTTACTTGTATTTTTTTACTTTCATTTTCTTAATCGCAGTTACTAGGTGATGATCCGAACTCGCTTCCTAAAATCTGCTTGTATGCGCGCCGCATATAATATAGTCTGCTCGACTTTCTACGATTATCATATCTGGTAAATAACTTTCATTTGTACCCGGATGTATCCAGGTATATTGTTTGCTTGTTTTTTTTCTTTATGAATGTATATATGATTCTCAAATTGTTTTCTTTATATAAGTCTTCTAGTCTCATTCTGTTTCTACTTGTCTCGTTTTGATCTCTTAACTGCTTTCCTACTGCCGTTTGGAAACTCTCGCTTAAGTCTCTTCCCAGATGGCAGTTGAAGCCATCAAGTATGGTTATTAGACATTTATTAGCCTTAAGCTTTTTCATTGGTTCTCTTAGTTCTATACAGAATTGCACTTTTTGTTTCATCATCGTCTGTTTTAGTTGGAACAGAATCCAACTGTGTTTATCAGTTTGGGTATTTTATCACATTTTATTTTCATGATGGCAACTCTTCCGTTCTTCTCATTGTGTTCTAACACCCTAATCCCTTCACATCAAACGCGGTACATTGTTTGGAGTTTGAACCTCGTGCTGGACCTAAACTTATCTACAGTTCACACTTGAATCCTCAATATTTTATATTTCTTTTGAGATTCAAAGAGTAAAATCCAGGTTCAGAATAGGGAAATTATCACAGAGCTTCATCAAAGTTAACTTTAGAAAGTGTAAAATTGAGTAATTATACAGCTTGACTATTATAAATCACATGTAAAGCTTCTCACATACCGAATGTGTCAATTCAGCAAAACTGATGGATTTTGTGTGTACATTTTACTTACGAACTAAAAAATTCGCCTAGCATTACTTGAAGACTTTGTGTCAAATTACTTCCTATGTAAAAAATGTACGATATTCTTAAAGATTATTTGTTTACCAATGTATTAACTATTGTCAGCACGTTATCATGTTCACTCGAATGCTATAGATGGTTTTTAAACACACAAAACGGCCTGTTTCATTTACGATGCTTTTGTTCTCGTGCTTCATTACTGAAAAAGTTTAATCCACAGTTAATCACCACAGATAAGTTCCCTACCACATGTTTATAAATTAGATCTTCTAAAATCTATTTCCACTTTTTGTGTGACCTAAAAGGATAAAAATAATAATTATCATTTAAAGCAATTAGTCCATTTTATAAATTTCGATAGAACAATGAGAAGACGAAGTTAATCTGAGAAAATTTTCAGATCAACTCCGTCTTCTCATTGTTCTATCGAAATTATCATTTACATGAGGCTGAATTTGCATAGGAACGATAAGCTCCTTGGTGCTACACTACCTTTCTTTCAATCACACCCTTTCATTATCGATAACATTCTTCAGGAAAGCCCAACTAAGACGATGAAAATTATGAGCTCTTTTAAAGACTGGGGTAGTTAACTTCACTGTGTCAATCAAACATACTAAAAGTAGACTAAGGTAGTTTTTCAACCTTCAGTCGATCAATAATCGTTTTGTTCAACAAATAAATAAGAAATTGCTAATATTTAGAAAAGAAACAGTTAGTCCAGTACTAATAAAATTAGATAAATAAAACCGTTCGGATTATCGTGGATTTTCATGAATCAGAGATTTGGATATAACATGTCAATGTAATATATTTAACTGTTGATACAAAAGCAGTATTAAATCGTGTAGTATGAGTGCTGTTAAAATTATCAAGAAATGTCCTGAAAATATGAACAGTCATTTACGAAGATTCAAAACTATATATCCATGGCATTTCTTGAGCCAAAACTCTTCTGGGACTACTAAATTATTTTGTCTGTGTTTGAAAACCACTCAGCTTTCCGGTATTTTATTGAAATCCGAGTTGAATATCTTATGTTTAGACTTATAAATAGTCAAGATACTTTTAGGTTTAGAAAAGTACATGAATTTCATTCTATATTCGTAAATGAACTTCAAAATCTTTAATTCAGTTAATACACATTTCATCTTTGGATTCAGTCTGAAATGATCAATTAGCTTACTGAGTTCTGATTCAGAAGAATGAATAAATATATGATACAGTGTATCATATTTTCAAATTAAATTACATCTAATAACTTAAACGAGAATTACTACTAATAAACCACATGTTGAATGTTTATTGTTTACGAAATAACACTATTGATTATGCTGTGCTTTGTATTGCACAAGTTGTAAGAGATATAGAATAAGTGACAATTCTATATGACTGTTGAAAGTTGAGCTTATCACACACTTCATATCATTTGAATAACATGGATTATTATTAATCTCTGTATGAGATAAGTATAAAACTGTACAATTGTGAACTTCAAACTGAAATCACGAACCGACCAATGTTAGACCACCATTGAAAGCCTGAAAGCGTTGAGAGGCCGTTTCATCCTAGTATAGAACTCCTCAGCAGTGCCCACCCACGACCTACGACCGCGCGCGAACACTTAACCACCAAACCACCGAGCCAGCGTCCAACGATGTTAATATCTAACTTCAACTATCCACAAAATTGCGCAACCACCCTGCATTGTCTTCAGCAAGCAATTACCTCCACTAGTCGCGGATTTTCACTAGAACATCAAGAATTATCTCTCAAAGCATGCCGCTAGTGAGCACATGATAATTATCAGTATAGGGTTGTGGAAATTGTGGAGTTTTTACTTGGAATCATGGGCCGATCAATGTTAGACCACATGCTCCGACGAAGGTCGTGGATTCAAGTCCGGCGTGTGAAGTTGTGGATGCATATCGCTGAGGAGTCTTGTGCTGGGACGAAACATCCTTCCAGTGCTTTCAGGTCTTCAATGGTGGTCTAACATCGATCGGTTCATGATTGTAATCAAAAACTCACCAATCTCCACAACCCTATTCTGATAATTACGAATTTAGCTCTGCCATTTAATCGGCCAATTTTGTTTGTTTATTGCCATTAGACATGAGAGCTACTTTTGTGAAATCTTTATTCTAATTTTATTTTTGTTCACCTTAGAAAAGTTGGGTATTAAGATTCATAGTAGGAGTGTTTTTGGAAGTTATATAAAATAACCGTTTATGTATGTGCATAAAAAACACTCAATTCTTTAGAATTTCTACAATATATTGAATATGATTCAGTCTTAGGGATAAGTCATAAGGTATTTTTGATAATTTCTGTCCTCATAAGGCTGGATATTGAGTCCAGTTATTGAAAGACCATTGTCGTATTTTACACTAACATGTACCCAGTTAATTTCACATTACAAATTTCTCCTCAGTGTTATAGATGTTATAACTAGATGCGTCAATCCTATGAAATCATATCTCATGCTTTTATGCTCAGTTAAAATGGCTACTTCTTAATAACCATTTCTATATTTTTAATATCCTCTCATTGGAGGCTTTCTGTCAAAAATTTAATTTTGATGAGTAGTAGTTACTTAATCACATTATTCGCATGAATTTATCTAATCGATCACATATCAACACAGCCCACACAACGTCGATCCGTTGAGATAAAACATGATAGTTTAAAGGCGTCAAACGATAAAAGTGTTTAAACTGTAAACTAAGATCAATTTACTGAACTGACATCTACTGTATTTGTTAACTAATCCCCGAAAGTTGTTAGAGTGCATTTATCATGAATTCACTTGAAATCCATCCCAGTATTTTAGTTTCAAACCTACTGAGTATTAAATCGATAACAATTCAGAATAAGATTTGTTACAGAATCTATCAATTCTTAGTTTTGAATATCTGTCGTCATAGTTAATGTGTGACTTATCAGCAAAACCCTTATTATTAGAATTGACTGAAATACATTTACTGAGTACAAGCATTTCTTTAGCATGGGGGGGGGGATAATTCATACACAAAATTGATAGTCTGAAAGAACATAGATAACGAAAATCATGTAATTCCAATACATATTACAATGTCTAAAAGAAATTTATCAACAGGGCTAACAAAATAACCAATCGTAAATTCGACAAGTATTCATTTTATTAGTTGACAGTGTCTTTTTCATAATAGTCATTGGATACTTTAAATTTAAGCAGAAAATGTCTACCTCTATATTTTTGATAATTTTCAAATCTGATTGGCCAATTTTCGCAATAGGTATGCCCATAATTTCTTGGATAGAAATCAGTTGATGAGATACATTATAATAAAGAAAAAGGTTAGTGGATTATTTTTTATAGAAAATCAACTCGTGTATTTCTTGGGGATAACAAAATCTTTGACTATCCTAATAGAAAATTTTCAATGAAAATCAGCTTTCATGTAAGTGTTCATCTTGTTGAATATCAATTTTTGTCAATATGAATTTAATTATTGAACTATTAAGTTAGCAAGGTTAACCCCTTCCCCACCAACCCCAATTATTATTGCAAGTACACATTTTAATAAGTTATTAAATTACATGCTAATCAAACGAATATTAGGATAAAGTTATTTAATGATTAGTGGTATTCACAAAATTAGGCTTTTTATTGTATATCCTATTTGAATAAAGAGTATTTTACAAAATTCGGATGGTAAATAATTAAATGTTATGGGTTTTGAGTCAGTAAGTGAATAAAAGTAGCGTCATCTGATCAAGCTTATATTTGTTTTTTATTTGATCAAGTTATTTTTAAACATGACTACGAACGATGCATTTTCAGAGAGTAATGCTTTAGAGTTAACAGTGCCGCATTGTATTGATATTGGATTTTAAAAAGAAACACACTTAGTTTTGATCATGATCCATACTTTCCTGATACAGAAACAATGTATCTCGCAAGCAAAATATCTTCAGGTGAAATATTGGTTGAAATATTTATGAATAACATAAGACTTGAACTCGGTAGAGATATTCAATTTCGTTACAGTTTCCCCTCTTTCCATAATATATATAATTTCTAGGATACATGACATTTCTGTTAAACGGTTTTGAAAATGCGATGATTCAGTGAACTTTTTGTGATCAAATGCCAAGTTATTTATGTAACCGTAACTGTGGTTACTTCATTTCTTCGACTGCTGACTATCTTATGAAGTATTGTGACAATCATACACCCTAATGTAGAATGCTGTGGTTAATGACCAGTAATGTTATCACTGAGTAGTAATTATTTCAGACGTTCAAGACTTCTTATCGGAAATCAATATTTTTATTCCCTGATATCCTTTAGAAATACGACTGTTACTAATATATCGAAGAATATTGACGGTTATTAAAACGAGCGTTTTATTACTTTTTACATGACTAAAATCTACTGAGTACATAGATGTCACTCATTTGAATTTAACCATGGATCATAAAGACTGTGTTTGTTATTTGATGTGGTAGTTATTATTCAAATATTTCAGATCAGAACAAAATCCTAATTATAGCTTGCTAATCGTGGGCAACTGTATGTCTTAACAACATATAATCACTTGAATAAGAAAAAGAGAAATCAGCGAACAAAATTTTCTTTTCTACGAAATCATTTACTTGAGCTGTACATTCGTATATATAGTTATATGGAAACTATATGTCTATAGAGGGATAGAAAGAATTGTATCACAAAAATGGTTTCGAGAATAAATAACAAATGAGGTTAACGTACTAATCACTTCATATTCCTTCTCTCCACCACTCACTTTTTCTTTTAGTCATCCTTCATTATTTACTAATTAATAAAATAGTTATTGTACATTTGGTTCATTATTAATATTTTTTTGAAATAAAGAAATAATAGATAATTACTGAATATTTATAAAAGTAAAATACATCTGTTACGTAATACCAGAATGGATCAATTGACGATTGATGTCATTGATGATTTTGAGTACCTTTGACCTATTTGAAGCTTAATATTTTGACTAAATTGTGTATAAATTGAGGTTAGAAGTAAGAATGTAATTGGTATGATATAAGCATCAGTCAACTTTGTCTAGTCTCCTAAATTTGGATTATTTCACAAATTCATTTAACAAAAAAGAAACAAATAATTGATTTAGAAAGAATGAGTACATAGGATACAAGGCTATTTTTTAATTAGCGACCATTAATATTGAAGCCGAAAATCAAAATAATCTTATTTCTAGAGTCAGAGTAGTTAAATAGTTTAGCTCTTGATAAACCTTATTCACCAGTCGTTTAAGCCATTAATTGATAATTGTTAGTCAGGTATGTAAGATCAGAAGTTTAAATACCCTTACCTTCAGTGTGCACTGTAAGTTGTAGTCGAAATTCGACACATAATCTGCTCTTAACCTGATGCCGACTCTTTATGAAATCGGTTATTGAATTAACTGAGTTAGAAACAACCAATTGTAAGGAATGATTACATTCTTCACCTTCAGGTCGTCACCACGAGAAGTAATCAAAGAACCGTTTATAATCTATTATAAAGTTATTTGTAATAAAGTTATTATTATTATTATTATTATTATTATTATTATTATTAGTGACTTAAGATATCATGATTATTCCTATTATCGGTCTAAAATACAGATTATTATCTTGTATACCAGTGCTTTATAGGCAACATCCGGTAGATAAAGCATGTACAACTACCAAGTGTAGTAGTTCACATCAAGCCCCTCTCTCCTTTTTCTAACGAGTCCAGAATAAAAAGAAAGTATATCTATGTTTTAAATAATTTCTCATAGTCCACTTAACTCAAATATCCTCTGTTTTATTTATCTTTTATTTGTAGGTTTAATTTGAATAGTTTACTGTGAACTACTTGTTAACATGAAGCCAATTAATCTGGTCAAGCGAAAGTAAAACGTTTAAAATAAATACAAAGATACTTGTGTTAAAAGTTTAATTAACTTTGTAACTGCTTTGTGATAAAAATAAGTACAGTGAATTATTCGGCACAACCATAATATACTTTGAATGAAATCATTCAGAATTTCATAAGACGTATAACATTTAAAAGGGGATCCTCCATATAATATGGTTGATTCAAATACTATTAGTTCCAAGAATTATCATTCAGAACTGCAAAATAGGTTATACTTTTCAAGTGGTTCAAATCAGGATATGAAAATCCCTTATCCATGTACTTGTTGCAAGCGAAATTCCCCTTCTATATTTTCACCACGATGTATGAATGTTTGTGCAGACTTTGATACTCCAGCCATAAACTATAATCTCAATTTATCGACAACCAATTTTTCAGATAATAACCTCAACCCATTTTCTCAGTTTACTTCTTTATCAAAATCCAAAGATTCTTTCTCCAGTGTTTTGAACAATGAACAACACAATTATATAAATGATAATTCCCTTCGACCTAAAATCTCGTCTCCCATTAATTCTTCTCTAACCATTCTGAAATGTGATGAGTTCTCTACGTCTAAACTTAATTTGGGAAATTCTGTTGAGTTGCCTACAAATCAACTGGCTATATCAAACGAAGGTGATAGCATATGTGATGATATGGAGATAATTAATAAAAAGGGCACTGAAGAAAATAATAATATTACGAGTTATCATCAAGTCATTCACACTGATAATCCATACCACATGAATCAGTCTAATCCGAATCTTCTTAAACTTTTGTCGAACTGTAATCAGTTAGTCAGAAACTCATCAGTCGAAATATTACCATCTTTGTATTCACCGCTACCTTCATTATCAACTGTTAATACGCTACATCCATTTAACAATCATGTTACAAGATTAGACTCTTTAATGCTAGATAATACTTCAAAATGTCTCAGTGAGAATTGTATAACCGAAAATATGGAAAAATATAATCAAACTAAGAATGAAGATAATATTGTTAACGAAAGGTCCGATGATTATATGGATAGCAAATCAACTTATCCGAATAAAAATTCCTTGTGGATGTTTAATAGTTGCACCAACCCAAATAACACAGCCGGATTTGAAGAACCATTTGATGTCAGTCACACAATGCAAGAGGTTATCAAATCTTCTATTTGTAATTATCCTTCAAATATATACAATTCTTCATTGTCACTACCAATAGCCTTTCCACCCTCCCCTTCTGCTTCACTGACTCATAATTATGAATCATTACAGGTGGAAAAACCTGCCATAAACTTTGTAAATCATGCTCAGGTTACCACTAATCCTTGCATGATACAACATGACATGCAGCATTCAACTTCAACTAACTATTCATCATCGTGTTCTTCTTCATCATCATCATCATCATCATCATCATCATTATCGTCTGAGCATCAGCAACAACAGCAGTCACATCACTGTTTTCCTCAGACTGATATTGCTTCATACTTACCATCACAAATTAATTCGATAGAATGTAGTGATAAACATCAATATCGTTTAACTGATATGCCCTGTCCACGTCGTCAGGAACAACAGAATCGACAAAAAAAGTTGTTTATTCACTTTCCAACACCAACAGAAACCGTCAAATTGATGCCTAAACATTTGATGATGACTAATGCACAACATCAAAGTCAACAGCAACTCACAGACGACCTTCTTGAAAGTGAATCTCACTCAGTAATCAATAAGCTTGGCATGGAATATACCTCTCAAGCAACCATAGACAAACAATCTGTGCTTCATGAAAGTAAGTTATGTTGTTTGTCAAGCATACTTACTCTTAACGCGGTAACCTTTCCTGTTGCGTATTTCTTTCTTTTGTTTGAGATAGACGTTTACTAGCCATTAATTAGACTACCTAAATACTTTGTTGAGTGGCTGGGTTATGTCCTTGTTTCTTTATTTGTAGGTGAATGTGGTTTAGTGGAAAACAGAGAATATTGGATATTTTCCTGTATATTTTTAGAACCATTCAGAAGTAAACAACTATAATTTGTGAGCTCAATGAAACTAACCATATTAAAACTAATTAAATATCCAATGAAAGTCTACTTTAGAAACTAGCCAAATTAAGTGTTATGATCCCAAAATAGTAAATATGATTAGTAATATCAAGTATATGAATAAAAAATCATAGTGAATTGAACCAGGATTATAAATACCTTACAAAAGATACTCACCTCATTTGCTTTTTTAAGAATACTATTTAAAGTCCTGGTTATAGTGAGGAATTTGTACAAAGATTATTAAATATATTTTGTGTATAAACTATAGCATTGAGTCTATAATTACGAATATACGTAACGGTGAACTGATAGTAAGATAGTGACTTGGTGGTTAGAGAAATCAAATTCTAACCATTAGGTTACAAGTTTAAATCCCATTTCGTTTAATTAGGTCTGGGTATCTGGGTATCATCGATAATCGTTACATAAAATCTGAGGTCTGAAATCTAGTATATAAAGCTACTTTTCATCAATAAGTTTTATCAATGTATGAATCAGGTGAAAATTATTTGCAACTTATAATAAAGTTGACTACTATTTGGCTAGAACCATTAGATATAGCGTATCAGCAAAACAGGTTGGTACAACAACTTAGGGACTTCCATAAAAGTGCTCTGGCTCAAATGATCATATTTTTGTATGGCACAGAAAAGAAAATCACCAGAGGAAGAAAACATTAAAACAGATGAACAAGATATGGGTAGACGAAGAATATGGATAGATATGTGATGAGATGTCCAAACTTAGGGGAGGGTAAAAAAAATAGATTCTTTCAAGTCACTGGTTCATAACATCTTGAGAAATCAGAAATTCCCCAGAACAGTTGTCAGATGATCTTTTGATGTCGATATCTAAAATTCGTTTTCACCAACTCAACTGAGGTAATAAAACTTTTTAAACAAGGTACCAAACATACTCAATAACTCTACTTCTTGTTCATAGACTCGGCATTAGCGAAGACCGATTGTAAAGTATGAAACTATGTTTTCTAGGGATGAAAAGGTTGTTTAATGTCATCAAATTATCATTTGATACACTTTGAATATCTTGCATCTTGTCAGCTTTTTTACCTAACGATACAAAGAGACTCTACTGGAGGAATTTTGGATAAGAGAATAATCACTAAAAAGCCGATCGTATATGAATTCCCTTGAGTCAATGTATTTAGAAAAAAATGGACTAAATTCAGATGTCCGTGGAAAACCGAGAATAACAATAAAATATGAAGAAAATGATCGAATTACACTAAACAACATGTATTTGAAGTCATATGATTGAGTTTTACTGAACTCACAGATAAAACGTTCTTCTAAATGTATCGAAGTAAGGAAGCAGTAAGGTGTTAAGTGGATTTGAAAAACAATGTTCTAGGAAATTCATGATTTTTTAAATTTCTATGACTAGAAACAAATCTTCGTGTTTTTGGAATTTTTTATAACAGATGTTTTCATAATAAAGAGTATTCTCTCTATTATATAAATCAATAAAAACTATTTACTTCCTGTTTAATAAAAAGAACGTTGATTCTTGGAAGTGGATATTATCCAAACATTATACGTCGATTGAGTGACCGAGCAGTCTGAGCCTCTAGTTTTAGGCACCAGTCTGAAGGATTGTGAGTTCGAACCACATATCCATCAAATCTTTGTAAATCAATAGTTTAGATGTTAAGAATTCCAACTTTCAGGTACTAAATCTCAGGTTCGAATTCCGTTCGACCTACTTCTGTTAAGACAGTTGGGTAGTGTCATGAGCCTTCAGACTTATAGTTTGGCCCGAAACCAAGTACACAGTTCTGTACATGGTAAATGAGTTACTAATAATACAGACAACCGTCGTGGGACCTAAAATGTTACAAACTTGTTTCGTTTCTTTCTGACAGTCCATACTATATTTTCTTTAGAGCTATGTTTCATGGGCAAGACCAAGGTTCTTAAGCCTTACCATAATTTGAATTAAAACGAGATCCACATTTCTCACTGGTCTTGAGTTTAATAATTTAAAGGTTTCTTTTTTCATTAAAGTAATATCAGTTGCCTTAATTCAAAGTAAATTAGTAAACAGTGTCAAAATATTGAATTCGTTCACTATTTTGTATTTATCTAAAAAAGGATAATGACTATACCAAAGAAGAGATTGGAGGTCAGTATATTCGAGAGCATTTATCCATCCTTTATATCTCTCAAAAGTACACTTTCCGAAATATGTGCTGATGATGTCCAAAAAGGCTATACGGGTTAATCATCCAGCTCAGAGAATCCAATATCTACAAAAGCAGTTTAAAACTCAGCAAGGATGGGTTGAGTATTCAGTTATATTAAATGTTGGTTAATTGCCTAATTTTTAAAGTCACTATTTACCCAATATTCTTCATTATGTTGATTTATATCGGTGTTGAAAAGCCATTTATCAATGTTTAAACACAATAAAATATATATCCATGATAAGCAGTAGTCAGTTACTATTACTCTATGGTATATATATACCAATGAAAGCAAGTTCACTGAGTTCAGCTATTAAAATCCGCATAATAACTGGTATTAGTGTACAAATTAGTCTCATCGTGTTGTCGAATGGGTGATTATTATTAATTTTTTCTCTCTTCATTCGAATACAGTGCTTTTCTAATCTGAATTGATAAAAGTAAATATTAATAGATAACGTTAAATGTATATGTATTCTATAATACCAAGATTATATATATACCATTTAATGTTTTATCATATGTATAATATTGTTGTGTATGTAATCATAGATACTTGTAGTAAGGAGAGTAGATACAGTTAGTACTGATCCTGGTTATACTTTTCAACTTTGACAATACATCAAGTCGTCAGTGTATAAATGCATATATATTGTCTATCTGAGATTATCAAAACAAGTATTTTGTATAGTGGTGGAACTTATGCAGTTATTTACTTGAAATTGACCATAGTCGCATAAATGTATACTTTTTTTTATCACTGTTTACATGATTTTCTCTTTGTGTACTCTTTCTAGCATTCTTTATATTGTTGCTTAGTTCTGAGATGTTTTGTAATTAAAATCAGCTCCTTACTAAATAGAAATTTACAGGGTTGTTATCTACAAATCTGGGAACTTTAACAGTGTTTAGTACCAAAAACAAAGTAGTACTAAGTGAGATCATGAGCCTATCGATGTTAGACCACCACTGAAAATCTCGAAGTATTGGACGGCCGTTTCGTTCTAGTATGAGGCTCCTCAACAGTGCGCATCTATGATTCCACACGCGTGAATCGAACCCACAACCTTCAGCTTGGAACTCCTCTAGTGTTCAGTATTTTTGAGAATAAAGTCGATCAATCTTAAGAAAATACAATGTTAAATTTACTTGTTTAATATCATATTACAAGATCCCTTTATTGTAATTTCCAATCAAATATGATTTGTTTAACTCAAAATCGTTGAGTATAGATCGATATTTATTCCATTCAATTTAAAACACTTTTCGAGCTAATTTACTAATTAGTTTCTAATAACTGTCCATGCTACCGTTAGTCCATATCTAGTGAAGATACACAACATTAAACTAATCTTCACTGTGCTTCGTTCATTTATCTCTTAATTAAATCCTAAACTATTAGACTGAAAACTAGATGAATTAATATTGAACAACATTAAATCACATACGTAAATGGATCCTAGAAGTTTAGTTGTAAGTTCATTTCTATTTTAATAGTTTCTATTATTGAAAAGTCAGGAAATAGACTTTTAGTTAGGCAAAGTAACCGACAATTACACTATGTTAAGGTTTTTGTTACATACTGACATGAATTATCCTACTTTTGAAAGTAAATAAACGGTTTACAATTTTCTCGCTTCATTATAATGATGTGTACTAAGTGCTTTGTGTTAATTTGTATATTTTCTACAGTATAATATGAATTTACATATCTATTAACGTATATATCATCACATAATGAGTGGTTCACATGTATTATGCTTGGTAGTCGTTCTGCCAGCCCCTTTATTCAACTTTGGGAATAATTAGACTCAAAAGTTATTAAATGCTTTGTTCAAAGCATGATGAAACTTGTCTGGAGACTCCTGAAAATCTAAAATACTGTCTACAGAAAGTTAGAACATCACTGCAGAAATTATTTCACGCGTTCATATACTCACACAGTTAGAAAAATACAATGAGTGATTTCTATGGTCATCTGATTTCATGATCATTGTCACAGTAAGGAAATAACATTCAATTAACTGATCCAGCACGAATCCTTAGAAATTTACATCTGTGACTTTGCATCCGTTGACTGAGGTGAACTCAATTTTTATAACTGAAAACAATCACAAACCATACACCTTTGACTTTTGCCGATCACCTTTAACTATCTGAAATTTTGAGTTGATATCCAGAATGTTAGCTAGATCGGCATTCTTGAGTGACGCCTAATGATTATCTTTAAAGAGAGAGTATGATAGTAATTCTAATATAGCTAGCTGAATATTGAATAAGTCAACAACAAAAATACCGCTGATTCTGAATTTGAACGGAATGCAATTGATTTTCACGGTCAAGCTAGAATATAAAAAAGATGAGCGGATAGTAACCAACAAGTAGAGTACCAAATATGTGCTAGTATGCCCTTGTGTTATTTTATAAATATCAGAGCTTACACAGATTGACACAACCATCTACGCCTAATAAGAGATATTTCAGATTGTAATTATTGAGATTTTGGGGTCTATTATTTAGGAAAGTTTCGAAAGGACAAGGATTATTTTACTAGCGCCCCTATTCGCTATCCTTTTAATATGAATATCTGTTATTCAATGATGTATTTGTTTGTTGTGTACATATACTTAGAAGCGTGTAGCTATGTATTTTATTTATCAAAGTTAAGACCTGTTTATCGTTTTATAGGCACATAGACGTAACTCACAGAAAGATTGTCTATTTATCAGAATGATTATATTAATGTTTCAAGGTATTCACACTCAACTCCACCCCTCATTGAAACAGAGAGAAAAAACATGAAGAGAATAAAAGAATGAGTAAATAAATGTCACGTGATTAATCTAGCTTAGCAATAGCATACACAAATTCTGACAAAAAAACTACGATGCAAACAAATACGCTCATATAATTTATACAGAAGCAGTAACCTCCGCGTCCATATATGTAGGCACGCTTCTTGAGTGATGTTTCCCAAAAGAATACTTAGATAAGAAAGATGTAGAAACACCTACCTTTCCCCTTCGCTCACATTCTCGCTTGCTTTCTGGTTATTCATCTCCTACTTCTTTTCCATCGAAGAAAATTCATTCGATTGAGACGATGAGCGTATATGATGGCAATAGGAGAAAATAACAGGTTAGCGACGTTGCAGATGTAAACGAATGAGTAGCCGTATTATCTATATAGTTTCCTCGTCGACCTAGTTCCACCATGTTCATATAGTAGTTGTGAAACTAATGTCCAGCGAATTCCACTATGAAATAGTGTGTTTGCATGCATACGTATATGATGTATTATAGTTCGTAAAATTGATTGTTCATTGGTGGAGATTAAAGTTTGAAATGAAATAGTCTAGGAAGTTTAAAAAAGCCTTAGTATAGACATGTTTATTTTAATAGAATTGGTTTTAAAAGTAATACTTTCCATTTCGTGTAATCAAATTATTCTCATATAGTTCTTTTTTCTTTGTTTTTGAATGGTATGTGCTCCTCAGTTGCTTTTTCTAACATCTGTTTTCCCAAGATAAACGAGTTTAAAATAACACTTAATCTAACTGATATCATACGGTGAAATACTTCAATCAGAATACTCAGTTTACATTAGTTTCAATGAATAGTTGGCCCTTGAAAGAAAACATTAAGTGATAAACTGCCCAACAAATTAAATTCTGTTTCACAGACTATACTAATTAAATACAGTTCCTATTTGTAGCTCAAACAACTTGATCTATCTAGCATTTTCTCCAATTTCAAATGTTTAAAATACATACTGTAGCTTTGTTTCGACCGTAACATCAGTATAAGTATAAAAGTAAGATTTTCATATTTTCTATTAGCTTTTCCGAAGGTGATATTGGTCATTTGGATTCGGTTGCAACTTCGAATACTTTTTCATAGTATCAACCATACAAGAAATATCAACATTATTTGAAAGTTTTCAGTAGAATTATTAGTTATATAGACTTCATCTGACTCAGATAAAATTGATCTTTTAGTAATGATCATCGAGGTTATTCGGTAAATACAAACTTATTTTTTCGATGTGTGAGAAAACATTGAACCTTCCTTTAAAAAATGATTGTATTGTAAGATCTTATCAAGTTTGTAATTAGTAATTACTGTTTACACGCATTTTCATAATGAAACCTTCACGGAAAACTTTAGATTAAAACAGAACAGTTGTTTGGAGTTTGCCCGTTTTCAATAACTATATGGCTGATCTCGGTGTGTAATAAAGAGGAATCAACCATAAACCGAAAGTCCCTACATAGACGATTGGTTACATTATCTGAACGTCGATATCTGATTATTACATTAGAAACATTAATCGTGAAATTGTGCATTAAAATTAAACTACTTCCTACCAGGTACTAAAGTCACATGCAATGATCTATCGGCTCATTTGATAGCTTCAATGTTTGACAATGAAATATTCTACAAATAATCTACTTTTAATATATAGTAACGTATCACCTCATATTTACCATTGCCCACAATTCAAATACTGTCTCTATGACACTATGATATGAGTAGATGCTATCCAACAGCAATCTAAAATAGTTTTTCCAAAAACTCATATTGTCATGAAAAAACAAAACAAATACTATATAAGAATTTGCTCTTTTCAAACTGTCAAACAACTTCGGAATATCACTTTGCTTTAATTCATTTGGCTGGATCTAGTTATTGTGAAATATACAGCTTTCCAAAATAGATCTCCGTCAGTACACTTCTAATAAACTGATTATAGCTGAATATATTTTTAGCTTTTAAAATATTTATAATAAAAATTTATCACTGTTACCTATTCTAACTTATTTTGAATAATCGAAGTTACATTGAAACACAAATCTACACCGAACATCATCTGATATCCTGAGCAATTGACAGATCCGTTTGGAATTTCACACTCTAGAAATATACAAATACATATTGCGTACGTTTTTGTGCACGACCCCACTTGTAGCAAATAAAATAACTTACCACTTGTTCTTTTTATAAAAAAATTAACTTTTGCATGATATCTACTACTTATAAACCATAAGTAGTTTCTTTGTTGTCTCTAGTGTAATAATAAAAAGTAGCCTCATAAATAGTCATTGACTTCGTCAGTATTAGTATTCTGACTGGTAGGAAGGACTTTATTTAACAAGACATTTTTTTGCCATTCTAGTGTTTTTTATATTTGCGAGTGAATTAAGTTCTGAAACAGCGATTATTTGCTTGCTTTAATAAACATATAGCATATGTTGTTGTCCCACTATAAACGAAGTTTTATACAGTCTCAGTTTTCCACTGTACGTATTCATTTATGTTGTATGTTTGTATCTGAATAAAGGGATATGTCAGCATGTACTCACTACAAAGTGGGGTGGTAAGATTTAACATATATTTCCAGCATTAGAAGAGTACGGAATGAGAGAATCCATAATTACTCATTTATCACTATTATTATGTTCCTTCAGTTTTTTCATACTTCATTCGTCTCCACCCTCGTTAATAAACCATATCATAACTAATAATCAAATAAGAGCAAAATTTGTACCTTAGGTCATAACAACAACAATTTTACCACCACCACCACCAACACACTAATCATCACCGCCTACTTCACCAAATACATGAAGTTCATTTTTCTGTTTACTTACTCGTACTGATAAGCCGAGCAAACACGACAATGACAGCGGTCACAAATCTCAACCATGTCGATGCAGATATATATATATATATATATATATATATATATATATATATATATATATATATATATATATATGCATATTTTCCTGTATTTTTCAGCGAGTTCTCTCACTTTGTCTTTCTATTTGTCGTTTACTTACTCCACCACCGTATTTTATCCCTTTTTATATGAATAAATTAAAGTGAGGTAGGGTAGCTGGTGAGTTCGTTGATTGGTAAGTTAGTTAGGTAAGTAGACACTGAAATCGTAAGGAAAACATTTAACCGAAATAACAATCAGGTGGACAGATGAACGATGTATTCTCTATAGGAAAATATGTTTTTAATAGTTCGATCTAAAAAGCAAGCATATTCATGCTCATGTTTTGTTTTCGATTTACAAAAACAAGTTTTTAAATTGTTATTACTATTGCTGCAACAACCTGCGTTACTCACTATACTTGTATGTTTATTTTCATAATGTATGAGTACATAAAATCTGTATATATACCATGTGGGTGTGTCTGTTATGTGCGGAACATGGACGGTTGCTTGCTGAAATTTACTGAGTTAGGATTTATGAAACTAATATTAGAAAGCATTATTTACAAAACTATCATATACTGTGTCTAATATTTGTGACAGAAATAATGCTTTGGAAATAACTTACTACAATAGCCGTTTCGTGTTGCAATTTTTCGAGGATTAGACTACTTTGAACGTAACTATTGAAATTAACGGAATGATTAGTGAAATGAAGAGATCCCTTTAAAAAAATATCCAAACGAACAAAAGACAATCTGTAATATGGGAGATAGATTGGACTGGTTGACCTAGAAAAATAACTCCTAGCTCAACAAATATTTGTTTACGCTCTCATCACGAGAGCTTATTGAGTAACAGTGAGGTTGATCAAATCAAAATATTCCAATACACCCCAGTATTTATTTAGATAATATTAGTCTAAGGGAATGACCGTAAATTGTGTTTATCTTGATAGTATTTAACAAGGAAATATAGTTTTGTCTAAATTTTAACTGAAAATGAAACGAAAACGTTTCATGAAACCATTAAGTATGAACATACTTATTCACTATCAGCATTTCTGAAGACATTACTCCAAGAAAATATTAATTTTTGGCAAATAGGGAACTTTTTGAAACTAAAAATTCTTTTTGGAAAAAAGAATTCATGAATCACAGTTAATAAGGAAGGTAGGATTCCACTTTCATTATTGCTGAGAATCTATGTGTCAATACATCACTGTACTCTCTTTATAACATGTTTCTATTTGTAATGTTTATCATAATACTACCGTTCACTAGTTCTACATGTGAGAGAGGCTTCTTTTTAACTGTAACACAAAACGTTTTATTTTAACCAAGTGAAATGAGATAAACATTCATATATGTATCGTTAAGGAAAGTTCTAAATCATTGAAAATGGGTTTATGAGAATATCGCTTTGGTGAATCTAGTTAGGTAATCAAATGGGAAAATACGATTACAATTCTACAATGAAGTTTACTAAACGTTAGGTAATTGAACTTTTTTTTTCGTTGAAAAATCCAAATAAAACTTCCAACATTTTTTTCATATCAAGGTGTATCAATCGATATTGTTTCTCTTAAAATATGTTTTTCTCTGATAAAAACAACTAACAATCAAATTTCAACTGCTATTATTGTTTCCCACCAAAAAAATTTTTTTCAAAAAATGTTCACAAGCTCCTCAGTGTGTACAATGTGGAAAATTCAATATTGAAAATCAACAATGGGTTTTCGACGGAATTACTGAACTTTATTTATGCAATGAATGTAATCAACAAGTCAACTATGACAATAATAGAATTAAGTCAACAAGAAAAATGAAACATCTACCAAGCATAAATGCACCGGCTGATAAAGCTAAGCCATTCTTTGATCCATTACTGAATTATGGTACACGGAATAGAAATCGATCAGGTTTAGATCAAGATAATGGGAGTTTGTCTCTTCTTATATGGAATGATGCCAAATCTTACTCTAAAGATCCTTCATTTATATTCAATCCTACGGACAATTTTAATGAGATAGGTAAGTTGTTAATTTCTCTTTTAGTAATTTTCAAACTTTTTGGTGGTATGTTGTTGATTTTGCGTAATGTGAATAAATATTTAATATTAAGGTTTTTGCAATATGAAATGAATATCTGTACGGATGTTCACTGAAGAGGTTTCTGAACCAAAGAACATTGACAATGATAACTGTCAGCGACAAAAATACTGTAGAAACTATTGATAAAAAGAAATACTTGAACACTTTCTTCAGGTCATAATTTTTGTTAAGCTATTTGATATCAAGCATACCGAGTGAAGTAGTTGCAATTGTAAAAGATGTGATTTCATTCCTAGAGAATCCGACAACAAATAAGTATGACTCACCGGTCGGTGAATAACTTACACATTTTTGTTAGGAGGATTGCTTCACATCTTTTGTTAAAGACTGAAGGGGACATTTATGAGCTTCTTGTTGGTCTAAAAGGTCACATTTAAATATTGGACTCTGTTAATTAACACTTGACCTACATGTAAAATTGTGATTTGTTTGTTTATTATGTTTTTACGTTCTTCATCAGATAAACACTTGCAAATACAATCACCTCAAGAGATTTCAAACTATTCTACATGGTCACAATATACAACGAACGTGATGAAGGATGCGGCTGTTACTAGGGTACCAATCGATCCAATACATAGTGAAGAAAACATCTCAAAGTCATCTAATTCAGTAAGCTCTGGATTTGTCCTTAAGATTTTTAGCGTTATTGTTGAATAACTATGTTACATCATCGAGGAGATAATACAAATAATCATGCTACTTTATTGTGAGAAACAGATTTTTTTTCAACATTAATCATTGAATTATGTTAAGGACTTCATTCTCTTTCATCAGGACCATGTGATATGAGAGTATGACACATGTAATTGCGTATTATTAAGCTTTTAATACTACGTAGAAGTAGTACATGGTGTAAGTTGTTAGTTTACGGCAAATCATAACTATACTACTTTGCATAGTTCACAGAAGACATCACGAACTTTCCCTATTCTAGCAATTAACTAATAGTTGAGTAGGGTATCAGAAAAAAACATACTGGAAAGCATAAGTATATTTCAAGAAATGAAATGACTGTAGTAAAAGTCTCTAGTTTTTACCTTCAAGGCGAATCAATTATAGAACATAGAAAATTAATCCTATTATTTATCAAATAATGGATCCACGCTCTTAGAATGGAACACAATCGGATAATAAAATCAGTTACGTTAATCTCTAGAGTCAGATAACACGAGAATCTGTTGAAAAAAGGTGCTTGCTGTTCAGTATGACTTTTTATGATATTTTACACTTAAATTATGGTCATATCAGTTGTCTCCAATATATAGCTTGGTATACTGTAATTATTAGTTCAAAGATAACTCAATAACTGTTCATTACTAATCCTTTTTGACGTGACTTTGACTATATTCAACACCAGTCTTCATTCTTTAGTTAACACCAGAATGTTTAATTTAAAACTTTGTTTATTCGAATGAGTTTTGAAGTATCTCATCTTTCATCTCAAGTTCATAGTTTATATAATATACCCTTGTGGGCCAGGGTAATTTTACATTGGTTTTCAGGAGAACCAGACACCATCCGGACTTTCACATAAAAACCCAAACAGTACAGCTCAACCCTGTTTAGCAGGGGAACCAGACACCGTACAGGCTTTAACGCTACAATCTGAATAGTACAGCTCAATCCTGTGGCGCAACCACACAGCTACCAAGCACCCTGGTGGACCATTCATCTCAAATTATTGGTTAATTCCCATTGAAGAGAAATATACTGAGATATTTTTTCATTAATCTATTATGACAGTTACAACCACTGTTTACTAATACTTTACATGATCTATCAACTCTTTCTTCCTTTTTTATCATCACCAGTTAAATATTCCAAACTCTACACGTCGTTCAGGACAATTTTGTACCAATTGTAATACTTCAGCAACTACCCTATGGCGTCGTAATACGGAAGGAGAACCAGTTTGTAATGCATGTGGATTATATTATAAACTGCACAAGGTTAGATAACAAAAACGTTCGTAATTGCTTTAACCCACTTGAAAACAAAATAAGACTTAAGAATCCTGTTACTGTATCATTGTGTGGGCATTGGTTTCTCCACACCTGATGGAACAGAGTCATATATTTTCGATATGCCTTATAAAATATGTCTGGGAATTTATATATTCTGTCCGATGAATTTGTAAACTAAACTATTTAGTTTCTTAATGAAACTTCAGGACAACTCTTAATAGATTTATCAGATGTTTAGGATTGTTTTTGAAGATAAAGAATTGAGGAAAACAGATCGTTTTTGGTAGGTCTAGACTTTAAGTAAAGCTCACGAAGACTTTAAGGAGAATTCAAGGCAAACCTGATCATTAGCTGTGTTATTTAAAACATAGAATGTTGAGGTCTAAAATATTTTCTGATATCCGATTTATTGTTCGAATGGTTCTTCATGTACCGAACTCAGGAAAGTTGTCTTGGCTTACAACTCTAGCAAAGCATTCATGTTGAGAAAATGTTATATAAAAATGACGAAACGGTCAGGTAGCTGAAAAAGCTGACTTCCGAAAACTTTTTAGGATGTTTCAAATAGTAAAAGGGAGATGAAACGACTATACTTTCACAAATCGAAGTACTTCGAAAGAAACGAGATTGATGTCCTCTAAATTTTGTAAGATGATGTTTGTATGATCGTAGTTCACTCATTTATTGGGAACCCTGTGTACTACTTCAAAAGTGTAAATTATGTTCGGTAATAAAGATGGAGCTGGTTTTGTCTATCGGCCACATGAATGATTACCTTTTATCTATTCAACCAAGCCAAACTAAAGAATATCAAAATATTGTAAATACTCCATCGATTTGATAAATTTATCAAAATTACTGAAATAACCTAACCAATAATTTTTTGATTAAACCAAATGCGAAATCTCAGCCGAAAAAATAACCGATGATAGATCTACCATTCAAATGACCAAACGTATTATGAAGGGACTAAATAAGAGTCATTTTTATTAAGTCTTGAGCAAAAGTGACAAATCAATTACCATATAATAAACGATTAAACGAAAATGGGTATAAAAACCATAAGGAAGCCAATAAAATTTCATCTCTACTGGTAGCAAAACAGACCTGGCATAAATTTCTCTTCATAAATACAAAACTAAAATAAATTTTTGGATGAATGAATTCTTTGGATGACTTATGACTTATTAAGCTGATATAGCGCATTACTTCACAGCTGACACAGTGAAACATATAAAATCAGGTGATTCAGCAACAAGGTTATTTTTTAAAAGAATTCCTCTGCTTTTAATGAATAAAAATGTGTTAGGTAACTTAGAGTTTTCTAATGATTCATATTTTACTCGTATACTTTGTTTGGATACGCCACCTGGTTTTGGTTGCATTTTCAAGTTACTGAATATTAAAATAGTAGTTAAAGTATATGCAGAAAAATTCGATCAAATCATTTGTTTAAATGTTAACTACTGGAAAAATATTTTATCGACTGAAGGAATGTAAAATCTTCTTCTATGTGTCGATATAAAGATATAAGTCCTAATCAATAAGAAAGAGTCTTCACAGTCACTGATAAAACACACAGAAAATGATTTAGGTTGACAGGATGTGCATAGAAAGATTTAAACATAGTGAATGTGATTAAAGGTATCGCAATCCTATGTTATCGTTGTTATCACGTTGTCTCCGAAAATACTGTAAATGTGACTTAGTTACTTCTGAATAGTACGTTAAGCCCACAGTTAAGACACGGTCCAACATTCTTTTATAATACTCCAAGTTAATAAAAATAAAACAGAGTTAATTTATCGGATTATCAATATTTCTGTATCTTAGTGATGTTGAATTTATCACTAAAGATGTGTTCTAGAATAGACCACTCAATTTAATCAACACAAAACCACCAAAAAACATCTAAATGAACTGCACAATTTGTCCCATTAATAATCAGCCTGATATTCTAGCATAACATGAGTCAAGAATTTCCAGTTTTCTAGTATTAATTCAGCTTTGAAATTCACTATGGCAAATATATATATGTATATAAATTAAACAGTTGACTTCATTAAAACATGGTGCTAAAGAAATTTAAATAGGAAATACCTTTAACCATAAATGTTATATTTGGATTTACTATTCAGCTCAATAAATGTGGTAATTTGTTCAGAAGAATACTTGTGGTCTGTGATTAATAATTTCCTGGAATATTTTTTTTTACGGTCTCAGATAAACCGTCCAATATCTATGAAGAAAGAAGGGATTCAAACTCGCAAGAGAAAACCAAAAATGAACACACTAAAATCTAATCAGTTATATGTACCGAATCTCTCTCGAGGTTCTGGAAAACCTATGAACAAATTAGTGACGCGCATGGATGGTTCTAAACAGGCGAGTTTTTTATTGATAATAGATATCAGTACGATATTATATACCGAACTGTATATAACAAGAGCTGTTGTAATTACAAACCAGACAGTTGGTTGAATTCATTTAGGAGGGAACCCTGGGCCTAGGTTTTATTCTAGTTGTCCCTCACTGGCAAGGTATATCTTAAATCTTAATTGTATTGTAACTCGACTAGTCATTATTAACGAATTTGACTATGATCATGGGTCATAGGCGTTCTTAACCTATGTGGAGTATGATTTTCTTAGTCGATGGGATAGACTTTTTTCAATAAAATCAAAATGCCTAAACGACGCCGACACAGAAGTAAACGTGAGTGTATACTATTTAACATATAACCAACTGTAAGTCCTGGCTCTCAAACTTTATAGCCACGTCAACTTAGTCAAGAAATAACACGAGATCTTTCTGTGGTACCTCTAGGGGAACGGTAACCATTCTGATCTTCTTTGTCGTCCAGTTTAAAATCTTAATCCATCTCAGACAAATACTATATTGTGGTTGTACATTGAAATCCACGAAGACTTTCATTGATAATAAGTGTAAGTCCATAAACTGACAGTTTGGTGATGTTATTCTCATTGAATCAATATCAGTGCTGTCTTATGCTCGGTATGAATGAAACAGAGGATTTCCGGTGTCATGTCAGTGCCGTAAATAGCGAACGAAAATTATGTAAGCTAATACCTGCAATAGAAGACCCATTTGACGCACTGATCCCTATCTGTACACTGCTACCTCTGATGTCAGTGAATATAAGAACAAAACTATTGAGTATTTTGGACAAAGATCTATGACTGATTCTGAACACCATGACGAATAGGTATCAGCGACTAGTTAGCCTATAGGATAACGTTGGGAGTCCTCAAAAGATAGGTCAGAATGTCTTAGAACTTCATGCTATCTATCAGACTTCGAAAGGCGCTGTATGATATGACTTTACTCCAACAAAGAGTCTCTTCATGGACGATATTAAGTTCCCAACAAAAAGAAAATAATCACAAATAAACTTATAGCTATTAAAATTGCTTCCTAGACAATAAGTACATACTAAATCAAGACCACATACAACGATCCTTGTAACGAGAGTGTATTGATTTAAGAGATAAGTGAGCCGAATCAATACTTCTACAGCATATTTCATTGATAATATAGATTTCCCAATATAACTCATGTACTATTCATTTGAGCCTATTAAGTAATGGGTACAGATTGTGTTAGTCTATAGACAATACATGACCCGAATTATTGGGAAACTACCAATCTATGGCTACTACAATGAAATATCGTGTTCAAATGAGCCCAGGTAATGGATTAATGATGACTTAAAAGCATTTTTATGTTTTTACTTTTCAATATATAAATTAGTTTCATATATCATTAGTTGAAATTTCAAGATAACTTCAGCTTTTATTAAAATTCACCAATAATGAGATTTTCTTAAGTGGCAGATTTACGACATCAATGATGAATTACCCCCTATTAGGTGATTTAGCTGCACATTATTTGATAATAAGGATATAATACAAAAAACATTACTGTGAAAAAAGTTCTGTGAGATAAGATAATGTTTATACCAATCCCAATGTTTAATAGTCACCTATTTGAAATTATTTTTTCTTCCGTATAGCTTTCTAACCAATCTCCATATAAAACCCGACATCATCACATTCCTTACAAAGGAACAGAGGTTGAAAGTCACCATTCTATTCCACCTAGATTTGTAGCTTTCCCAAATTTGTTTTATGATGAACAAAGCATGAAAAAACAAAATCTGGATGAAAACAAATCGAATGCATTGGATTCGTTATTTCATTCTCATTCATTAAATGAAGTTCATCCAATGCATACTACAACACGTACCCCCCAATTTCCTCCACCGGTTTCACTATCTCATCATCACCGAGTGAATATAAACGAACCCAACAGTTCAGTTAGCGATATTCATTACAATCAATATGGTGACCAAGTTGAAAACACTGCGATGATGATCAATCGGTTACCGATATTGAATAAAGTAACAGGAGAGAATTGTATAAATTCATTATTAATCTGGTCTAACACGTCGAGAACAAACGATGATTCGATGAATACTGTATTATTAACCAACTTTATAGAGTTAGACCGTAATCATAATCAGACTATCACTGAAGACGATAATGAGAATAGTAATAACAATAATAATGAGAATAGTGATAAACACTCCAATATCCCGATTGATTTTTCAAATACAGTTGTCGACTTTATAAATTTTCAATATCAAGAAATCCATGAAAAATCCGAAACTTCAAATTTACTACATCCAAACTTTGAACAGAAAACTATGGTGACTGACGATGTAGTGAGTAATGAGAAGTCAACAATCTATCATACTGCAAGTTTACAACTGAAATAAGTTTTTTCTAGTCGTGATTATTTTCCATAGTGCCATTAATACGGTAACAGTTATAAACAAGCTGAATTTACGTGTTTTTTTTCAATGTAATAATATGTCTATGTATTTTACTTAGTTCCTAGCAGACCTTCTAAAAAAATGTGTAGTATACTATTCTCTCCTAACTTTCAGTGACCCACAGTTAGTGTCGAAATGATTGCACAATAGTCAACAATTTCACTTACAAGACAGTGGACAGTATTTAAATATTTCTGGTCAACTGATGACAGTAATAATAATTGTGGTGATTACTTAACACTTGAGTGCAAGAGATAGTATGATCATTAGACCCTTAATATGCATTACAAGGAATGCTATTATGAGCCAATAAATGCATATATGCGTTTATTTTACTGTATAATTTTATCAAAATGTACACAGATGATCACTGGCTACGAAAGAAAATGTAACCAATGAAATATTAATTGACATTCTACACTATCTACAATGAAAACCATCATTTTTTTTCTAAGACGTGTTCTGAAATGTACTCATAATATTGATGATTCTCATTGGAATCATCAACCAATCTAAGTTAGACAACCATTGAAAATTTGGAAGCACTGCATGACCGTCTTACCCAAGTGTAAGACTCCTTGGCAGTGCATATACACGACTCCGTACTCAGGAATCGAATTCAGGACATTCGGTCTCGTGTGAGGACGCTTAACCTTACCAACAACTAAATAATCATCGTTTTGTGTAAACTCATAAGTAATCTGAAGAATACTAAATCTCTTGATGATTTTACTGAACCTCATTCTACGAGTTATGCATACATGTACCCTTCAAAAAGAGCATAAAAATATAAAGTTCAGTATCCGATGTACTAATCCATTATTAAAAAATTTCAAATGGTTATTTCTTCTCAAAAGTTTCTAAAATCCTTCAAGAACATAAGTATTTGGCTTGCAAGCAGTATTTAACCTTGGAGATGGATACAGGCTGAACTTAAAGGATCATATGCTTTATTCTTCATTGTTTATTTAATTTGTTTCGACCAAATACACTATGGCCACCATAATAAAACTTAGCTCTATGATGCATTCGTACAACCGTAGATGCCTGAATCTTGACCTTGCATCAGTAAACTCAATTGAAACTCACCAATGTTCAACTAGTCATATAAACTGTAACATATAAATTAAGATCCGAGATTTATTATTTTCTCCAGTGTGACATACCTGCATACATATATCGTGGCAGGTAACATATTCCTCATTTGTCTTCCAAAACTTTTTCGATGAAGCTTACCTGTTTTTACCTTAATCACGTTTGGTAAAACCATATCATGTTCCTCATACACTTTCACTCCTAAAATCTGCCATAGAAACACAACGTTTTCTGTGTGAAAATTTACTGAATAATATAGTTTTCATAGCTGAAATGAGAAGGGGATTCATGATTGCCATATATAAGTATCATCCAGAATCCAACTAACTGTCTATAGTCTTTAATTATAATATACTTTACCATGTGACATAGTTCTTCATTATGATATTGTTGGAAAATGTAATATGAACATTTTCAAATGGTTTTATGCCTAACACCCTTAAAACGACAAATTTGAAAACCAGTGGTTATCTTTTTAGTGGCTTTCAGATTTACTTTTTGTCAAGGTCATCAGAAGTGCAGAAATATTAGTTAAATACCGCTCTCAATTCAATCGTACATGTATTAGATTAGCTGTAATGAAACTGTTCATTAGACTGAGGAGACAAGAGTTCCAGAATCTCAGTAATAAAGATCATTTCAACTACCCATTAAGTTGCTCATATTTATTGTATATAGATACAGAAAATGAATTTCAGATGGGTAGCTGAAGATATTTGAGACAGGTACAGAATACCCACTTATAGTTTCGAATAACAGTAATGACTTATTTTAAGTTGGACTGTTGTGTTTATAAATTTTCAAAAAACTGCTCAATGTTCTTATATTCATGAAAAATTCGATAGGCTTAGTGAATTAACGGGTATGCACTAATAATCGAAGAATCCTTACACGCCTTACACGCATATATATAGCAAGATTCAAATTTTCTGTTTACTAGGCAGCAAGAAAACTGAATTCATCATTATGATCCTCCAATCATAATCGAACTAATGCACAAAAACGAAACCATGGATTCGGAAACTAATGTTCTAAATTTTTGGTCATCTGCCTATTAGTCACAAGTTAAAAGTTCTTTTTCCATTTTTATCGTAACACTAAAATCTTACTAAACTGCTTCGTAATTTGCTCTTGTATGAAGTTATATGAATTCGGAATTTCTTCCTTTTGACTAGTTCATAAACAAAAATAATTCATAGGTGAATGTTTAGAATGTTCTAGTTTAATCCCTACTGTTATTTATCAGACCATAAATAAGAATTTTCGTTATGTTTGTTTTAAATCGAATTGAATAGCGAATAACACTACTATTAATAAGGACAGTTCAAACTATTGCGCAATGTTTGCAGTATATATGAACTTATTTTACATTTCCACGCTAGTAACACACTTAGCTGATAATACGCCGACATGGATTCCAGATAAATCGATCAGGATAACAATGATCTAAACAATGGATTGTGACGAAATGGTTCCCAAAGTTTTATACCATTTGATAATGAATATTTTCCCAAAGGTCAACAGTTACGCTTAACAGGTTTCCAATAGAAAAAAATTATAGAACCGCAGCTAGGTCGTGAAAAATCACTTATCCATAAAGAAACAGCTTCTCGGTGGTATTTAGACACTACTTATAGGCATTCTAACTATGAGTTAGAACAAAGACAAAACTCATGGAGTACTATTTTCAGTCCTAGTCAACAACAGTGAGTGCATTACACATTTATCAGTACGATGAAGCGAACAACTTACAGTAAAATATAACCGTCTACTCAATGAATAAAATAGAACTGAATTAAATATAAGCATAAGAAATTTAGTTGTGTTCACATAATATCAGTAGCATTTTTGATAGACAACATTTAAATGGTGTTTTTATGTAGTCCTGTTGTGGGTTGAATACCAACTCTTTCCCATCAATATTCAACGAATCCATTTCAATTTTTATGTCGTTGAAGTTGTATCCTCATCTGTTCTTACTTGAGATTTCTTTTTAAAGAAAACCCTATAAATATCGAAACTTTATTTTTTGTAGTCATAGAATTAAAAATAACAACTTTCCATAAATTATAGTGATATCTTACGGGAGCTTTCGGCGATCTAAGTCTATAAGGGAAGTTATCACCATAATGGATACTGAAAAATTAATCAAATAATAAGGGGAAAACTGATTAATTGATTGTTCCTTAAAAACACTCTTTTGTTTCTTCACTCTTGAAAAAAGTCACTTCTTTGAAATTATAAATCTAACATTATTTTCTTTTCAAAACAGAACTCAATAACTCAAGAACAATCAGTAAATTTAATGAATCCACTAGAACCAAATTTTCCATCACCATCAAACTTCAGCCATTCTTCAGAAATATAACGGAAAAAGTTGTTAATTAACCCCTTCCCATAAATGAAGCACAAGGCAGTTCAAAATACCGAGTGGATCAAACTATTGCTTGGACGAAGAATAATTTTCCCTCGATTTTTTTTTCTCCTGTTTCTGTTGTACATTTGAATAGATTTGTGCAGTTTTGGAGGAATCAAATAACTTCTGTCAACTTAACTCACCAAATTTAATCAATGTGAAGACAACATTTGATTTGAAATTGCTAATTATGTTGTCTTATGAAAACTTGTATATGAATTAAAGTCTTTTCATATTGATTAACATGAGTTATCTATTACAGAAAACTATTTAGACAAATATATACTACATATAATATTATAATTATTCTTGAACTAAGTCAGTCATCCAGTTAAACAATGAACTTGTTAGAACTCTTGTGATTATTCTATTATCAATAATCAATAAACCCTTACTATCTTTCTAGTTGTTCATGTTTGTTTCTATTCTTTTGGTTAAACTGTTTTCTTTTCTTTTTGCAATGACAAGTAATAAAATGTAATCTGTTCTCTATTAATCAGTGTTAAAAAATGAACGATTTGAATAATTTCATAATAAGGTCTGAATCTTTAAATTTATCCCTTGTTTTAAAATGAATTAACCATGTGTTTAACACCATTCGATTTGTGATTCATGAGTCCAAATATTTGAATGCGAACCCTGAAAGGTTTATTACAAATCTTAAACGTAACTTGTATGAGATATCTATAAGTTGATAACACATTGAAAAAGTTGATTATTATGATCACGAAATGAGAACAGACGACACGGAACAAAAACAACTAAAATTACTGTGACAAGTCTGTCGTCATTATCGTTGGTTCTTTTGTGACCTACTGCTTTAAATAAATTTTGTTTAAGCCGATCAACTTAGACAGTAATGGGTAAAATATAAACAAGAAAGGAAGCTTGATAAGTGTACTTAGTAATGGTGGTGATCAAACGTTTAATGTCCACATAATTTCACTGGTGGAGTGAGATATGGTCACTGGTATAAACATTTCTAAGGCTACTTCAAAGCAGAGGTAATAATCAATATAGCGTACAAACGAGGTTAGTTATTTCGTTTTACGAATAGACTGGTAAATTATTCCATAGTCCCGAACTTTACTTGCAAACTAACTCATTTTGACAGAGTAGATTTAAGATGAGACAATTTAAATTTTGATAGTGACGAGTGCTATAACTCAGTGATTCTTCATATTGTATTGCACCAGTGGATGTAAAAGATTACATTTAGTTTGTCACCACTTCTAAAAAGGACCAATCCCTAGCTTAATGCATCTGCATCTGTAATTCAAAGTGCAATTACTCCCAAGAATCTGAAGTGCATGGCGTTGCTGGACAGATTCAAACCTGAGATGATCCTTAATGCATACACTACTCGGAATAAAAGTACAGTATTCGGGGACTGACCGGACGCATACTTTCTACGTCTAAATACGTGAGCCACTGTTATGGAAATTACTTAGTATATAACCTAGAACTTAGAAGAACTTTGAGGTCTACATGGGAGCTTTTCACTCCTAAATCTACCACAATGAAACCTACATAGCACCTGACCAGTTAGGAATCTCATAGATCCAGAACCATCAAAGCATTCTTCTAAACAAAGAAGGAAGGGATCACAATGAATATCATCCAATGCTATGAACCCACCAATGATAGCAGTGAAAATGATAAAAATTATTTTTGTGAGGCTGCAGTTGATCGTAGAGGAGTGCTCAAGAAGGGACCTGAGCGTCCTGGTAAAAGACCTAAACGCCAAGGTCGAAATGGACAACACCGGGTATGAAAATATCCTTGGACAACATGGACTGTGAGAAAGTAAAAAAAATGGTGAAAGATTTGCAAATCGACGTACCTTCAACAAAATGGTTATAAGTGACACTACTCCCCCCCCCACAAACACAAAGCTACATACGATTCGTCGGAGTACCCTACAGAGAACCAGATCAATCACATCTGCACCAGTAAAAAGTCCAGAAGTTAAATGGAAGACGCAAGAACAAAGAGATGAGCTGATATAGGTCCAGATCACCATCTATCATCTGTTGGCAGATAAGAAACACTGAACAACTGGGAAAACAGCCTTCCTGAGAGGTGCCAACAAACTCAGAGAACTCAAGATATCTCTCAGCAACAGATTCCGAGTCTTACAAGATCTACTCAAAGAAGAGGATACTATCATAAAGAACAACTGGCAAGCGATCAATAAAGCACTAACTCCAATGTGTAAGGAGGTTTTGGGCCACAAGAGGCTTCATCATAAGGAATGGATTCCTACCGATACCCTGGGCAAGATTCAAGAAAGGAAGAACAAGAAGATATCAACTAACCACAGTTGAACAAGAACAGAGAAAGCAACCCAATTACTGAGATTCAAGAACAGTGGAACAGGTGGGTAGAGCTCCTTGAAGAACTCTTGAGTAGACCAGCTCCACTGAATATCGAAGCAGAACACACAGACCTTCCTCTAGATGTTACTTCACCAACAATAGAAATCAGGATGGCCATCAAACAAATCAAGAGCAGGAAAGCAGCAGGACCTGACAATATACCATCTGAAGCTCTGAAGTCAGATATGGAAGTAACTGCAAGCATGCTTCACATTCTCTTCAGGAAGATTTGGGAGGAAGAACAAACGCCGCCGACAGACTGGAAAGAAGGACAACTCATCAAGATACCAAAGAAAGGAGATCTGAACAAATGCGGAAACTACAGAGGCATCACACTACTGTCAGTGCCAGGAAAAGTTTTCAACAGTGTTGCTGAACCAGATAACGCCCAACTTCGAAACCAATAGTCTGGATTCCGTAAGGATCGATCGTGCACAGACCAAATCGCGACATTACGGATCATTATTGAGCAATCAACTGAATGGAACGCGTCACAATAAACCAACATCCCAGACTGTGAAAAGACGTTTGACAATATGGATAGGAGATCCTTATGGAACGTTCCTCTACAATATGGTATACAGAATTCATGCGACGGACTACACTGCGAAGTCGTGCAAGGTGGACAGCTGACAGATGCATTGCAAGTGAGAACCGGAGTCAGACAAGGCTGTTTACTCTGCCTCTCTCTTCTGGTGTTTGACTGGATTACGAATACCTTCACATCTAAGAAGAAGCACGGAATACAATAGAGCTTGGATGCATTCAGATGATCAGGACTTTGCAAACCACCCAGCTCTTCTACTATATACACAGCAACAAATGTAGGTGAAGACAGCCAGTGTGAAACCAGCCTCTGCATCAGTAGGTCTCAACATTCACAAGAGAAAAAGCAATGTTCTATAATACAACACAGAGAACAAACCCAATAGCACTCGGTAGAGCTGTGAAGTAGGTGGGAACTTCCATATATCTGGGTAGCATCGTGGATAAACAAGGAGTATCGGATGCAGATGTAAAGGCAAGGTTTGGCAAAACAAGGCCAGCATTCCTACAAGTGAAGAATATATGGAACTCAAAACAACTGTCAGCCGACATCAAAGTTAGAATTTTCAGTACAAATGTCAATACATTTCTACTGTACGGAGCTGAAACTTGGGCAGCTACTATAACCATCATCAAAAAAAGCACAGGTATTTTTAAATAATTGTCTACACAAAATACTTAATATCTGTTGACCGGATAGCATCAGCAACAGCTTACTGTGGCAGAGAAAAAATCAATTTCTAGCTGAAGAGAAAATTAGAAAGACGTTGGAGGTGGGTAGGATAGATATAGCAGAAAACACCAAGCTGCATCATGGAACGAGCTCATACTTGGAATCCCGAAAGCAAAATGGTAAGACAGACCAAAGAACACACTGAGTTAGATTGGAAGCAGACATAAAAAAAGTGAACAACACAAAAGAGGGCTCAGGACAGTCGATTGGAAACTGGTGGTCGGTAGTCAAAACTCCGCGAGGAGTAATAGACGTGGACATGCAAACCAGTCCTATATAGCAATTAAACAGGGAATTACACCCACTTGGTCATCCACTGACGACAAGCATGACTGCTTCAGTGGTAATGTTCTTCGGCAAAATATGATAGTAGAAATAAGCTTTTATTTTGCAATATTCCGAGTAAACAGTAGAAAAAATAAGGAAACGGTTCATTTATTGCTTTACGTATATTTCGCCGCTATCAAGACAAGATGGTGACTAGGAAAAACGTCCAGTGGTTCAAGTATTTACACTTCACAAAGATAAGAAAATATGGAATATTGTGAGACGAATAACTATAGAATAATAAGGGAATTCATTTAAACAAAGAATGAATATATCTAAATCACTATAATCAATGTTGAGTAATGTTACTTGTAGTTTATACACACTAGCTTACATCATATAAAGAACATCAAGGGGAAAGTATCCATCATAATGAGAAAAGACTATTAGGATGGTTTACAAGATATTCTTAGATCAGTTTAACACTTCCTTTATTAACATTCCACTCTGTGGGAAAATAGCACTTTTAGATATTTCATGAGGTACTGTAAAACTCACTTTACATCAAATACAACACAAAGCCTGAAAAATTCTTAACTAACAATTGTACGTCTTATTGGAAAATCTAGACGAATATTACCATAGTGTTGAGACGCATTTTACTTTTTAAGTTGAATTATTTTTAAATTCAGCGTTACATTTCAACAATTCGATTTCTAGGAGTGTAGTTGGTTTACATCACTTTAGCGAAGTAGTCCACAGTGCAGTTTAGTTTTTCCAATTGTTATGAATGTTATCATAACGAAATGTTGACAAAGTTCAGCTGGCTACTTTCTGACTTTATAAAACGCTAAATGTATGGTCTGATTTTAAGATAATGGAGAAAACTTGTAGCTCAGGATGTTACAGTTATCGCTATCTCTGAGCTGGAGAGATTGGTTGTGAAGCTCTCTTTTTTCTTCTGAATGTCACCAATATGTACTTCAAGAGGAAGTACGTGTTAGGCGTTCGCGCGCGAGACCGAGGGTTATGGATTCGATTATCGCTTGCATGGACGTAAATGTGCAGTCGAGGATTCCCATATTAGGACGAAACGGCCGTTTAGTGCTTCCAAGCTTTTAATGATTGTCTAACACAGATTGGTTCATCATTTCAACGGAACTCCATCATAATCAGATTTCTGTACAATCGTCTAATCTGTGAAATATAGTGTTACACGAAAACCTTCTGCTTCAACAAAGTTTAATAAAAATGTACAGTTAAGATTATGACTGAGGGCTTCCGACCTCATAAACACAGTATTAGTTCCATTAGAGAGGACCTAGCAACGAAGTAAACATACCTACTCAATAATGTCTCCAGAAAACAACCACTAAAACAAACCAACATTGAGATTACTTATTACTCAGTTTAATAGCACACGAGTTTTATTTCATAGGACGGTTGAAGGTGATACAACTCACAAACTTGCTCACGCTTAAATTTTCGATAAATGTAAAAGGCATTTTAGACTCTAGTCAGATTGTCTCTGATTGACAGTTGACTAAAACATCTGAGATGGTTCATTCAAATGTTCGCAAAGATCCCTAACACCTTCTAGTTGGCCATGTTCTTTATCTTGAATGTAAACACCCAGAAAAAAGTAAACAATATAAAGGAATAATTGGATTGCTGAGACAGAACACTGGAGTTTTAATGCTATTATTATTATTATCACCAGTAGTAGGGAAAAAACAAATAAGTTACAGACATTAGCCTTCAATTTTATTTTTATTCAAAAACTAATTTTGTAAATATTGTAAAAAAAGACAGAAAAATTCATGGATGCTCTGAATACATACGCAGAAACAAACGTCAAAGAGCAAATCTGCAAGTGATAAGGTTAAAGTGAGTTTTTGTTCGTCGGTGTAAGCATGCCAAAATATTCTTGCTAATATATATATATAATTTTAATCAACCTCAATCAGTCGATTTAACGCAATGTAATGAATATATGTAATAAAGTTTTAGCTAATACAGCTTTGACATTGGTCAATCTGTGTCCATTTTATTGTCATCAAAAGACTCATCCTTTTTATCAGCTTTAGTATCTGCAATAGTTTTTCCTTCCTTTTTATGGTCTGACTTGTCTTTTGATGATTCCTGAGAAGTCGTACTTTGGGTGACATTCGAACCGCTGTCATTTGAGGGTTGAGAGGTTGTATCAGTTGTTTTTCCTTGGAGTGCATTTGAAAACGCCACCAGGTCTGAAATTGGAATTAAAATTAATTATTAGTTATCTAAGTTGTACTTATAGAACATACCGTCCCAAAAAATGTGTCTCCTTCATTTTAACATGAAGCTGTGATTTAGGATTATTTTGTGAAAACACGCGCTTTCATTTGAATGACATTTATCGTGCGAAAGTTTACGACATTTATTGCCAGTCCGATAATCAACAAGTGAGGTTTAAAATAACTCTACAAAAATTGGGAATCAAAAGTCAAGCCTCAGCAATTTCCCAAAAATAATGATCTGTAGTAGTTTTTTATGATTTGACAATTAGTTGTACTTTAGTCAGCTATCTTCAAATTAACAGAACACACGAAATAGTCAATTGAATCAATAATTTAGTATAGTTTACTGAACTCCGCCTGGAGTTCTTCCGGGGGCTACTGCCGGTCCCAAGCCCAGATAAAGGAGGAAGGTTGGGCATGGGGTTAGCGACCCCATCCTGTAGAAAACTAACTCGCTAAAAAAAACGATAACCAGAAAAAATTATTCAAACCTTTTAAACTCTGCCCTGGGAGTCAGAAGATCTTCATTTAGAAGAACTATGACGCCTCATAATGAAAGCCGAGTTCCTTCAGAAGTCACGAGGCCAACGCCCATTCTAACAACCAGAGCAAAAATTTTTATAGGTACATGGAATACTCGTACAATGTGGGACACGGGGAGTCTTCCAAGTTGCTGCAAAAATGAGGAGGTACAACCTAGAGGTGCTTGGGATCAGTAAAACACATTGGACGCAAGTTGGACAACAACGACTAGCTTCAGGAGAGCTCCTGTTATACTCCGGCCATGAAGAAGAAAATGCCCCACATACACAAGGAGTCGCATTGATGCTATCCAAACAAGCACAAAATGCACGTATATGATGGGAATCTCATGGACCAGGGATCATCAAAGCCTCATTCAAAACAAAGAAAGAGGGCATTACAATGAACTTCATCCAATGCTATGCGCCTACCAACGACTACAATGAAGACGCTAAAGATCAATTCTAAAGATTTGCAAACCTATGTGCCTTCAATAAACTGGTCATAGGCAGTGCTATATTCCCACATAAGCGCATTCACGAAATCACATGGACTTCACCGGATCACACTACACAAAACCAAATCGACCATATTTGCATCAACAAAACGTTCAGGAGGACTATAGAGGACGTGAGAACCAAGAGAGGAGCTGATATAGCATCAGATCATCACTTACTGGTCGCCAAGATGAAATTGAAACTCAAGAAGCACTGGACAACGGGGCAGACAGTATCACAAAAGTTCAATACGGCCTTTCTCCAGGATACTAACAAACTCAACAAATTCAAGATAGTCCTCAGCAACAAGTTCCAGGCCTTTCATGATCTACTCAATGGAGAAGGAACTACTGTGGAGAGCAACTGGAAGGGGATCAAAGAGGCAATCACTTCAACATGTCATGAGGTCCTGGGTCACAAGAAGCACCATCACAAGGAATGGATCACTGTTAATACACTGGATAAGATTCAAGAAAGGAGGAACAAGAAGGCAGCGATCAATATCAGCCGAACAAGAGCAGAAAAAGCAAAGGCACAAGCTGAATACACGGAAATAAACAAACAAGTGAAGAGGAGCATCAGAACCGACAAACGTTATTATGTGGAAGATTTAGCAACGACAGCGGAAAAGGCTACAAGAGAAGGAAACATGAATCAACTGTGTGACACGACAAAGAAACTGTCTGGAAATCACCGTAAACCGGAGCGACCAGTAAAAAGCAGGGAAGGCGAGGTAATCACCAACATTGAAGAACAACGAAACAGGTGGGTAGAACACTTCAAAAAACTCTTGAATCGACTAGCCCCACTGAACCCACTCAATTCCGAAGCAGCACCCACGGCCCACCAACAATTGAAGAAATTAGCATGGCCATCAGACAAATCAAGAGTGGCAAAGCAGCAGGACTAGACAACATCCCAGCAGAGACACTGAAAGCAGAACATCTGGAACTCAAAGCAACTGTCAACCAACACCAAGGTCAGGATTTTCAATACAAATGTCAAGACAGTTTTACTGTATGGGGCGGAAACCTGGAGAACTACGAAAGCCATCATCCAGAAGATACAGGTGTTTATTACTATTATTGTTATTATTAACAGTTGTCTACGCAAAATACTTCGGATCCGTTGGTCAGACACTATTAGTAATAACCAACTGTGGGAAAGAACAAACGAGATCCCAGCGAAGGAAGCACTGGAAGTGGATAGAACACACATTGACGAAGGCACCCAACTGCGTCACAAGACAAGCCCTCACATGGAACCCTGAAGGCCAAAGGAGGAGAGGAAGACCAAAGAATACATTACGCCGGGAAACGGAGATAAACATGAGAAAAATGAACAAGAATTGGATGAAATTAGAAAGGAAGGCCCAGGATAGAGTGGGTTGGAGAATGCTGGTCGATGGCCTATGCTCCATTAGGATTAACAGGCCTAAGTAAGTAAGTAATAGTTTACTGAACTGACATTATACCCAACTAATTACAAAGAGATGGACAAAAGTAAGTAGGGCTGCTTATGTATAAAACGATATATACAGGAAAATCATATTGGTATAGACCATTTGTTCAGGCGAGAAAAACATTTGACAGGCTTACCACCTCGTCTTGCAGCTTCATCGGCTTTTATACCCAAATTGAATTGAGCCAAAACAGGGGCGAGTTCACCTGTACGAAAAGCAGCTGAGAAGGACTACAAAAGACGAATACAGTGAGGAAGCTAGTTAAGTAACAAAAACGAGTAAAAAGAGTGAAATCTTAACAAAAGTGAACAGTGATATATGCAGTAAAAATATAACTGGATCTATCGTAAATTAAGTAATACATGAAATAAAGGTGTAGATACTTTAAACTTTTAACCCCAGTTTCAAGACAGTTCGCGTTATAAACGAAAAGAACAAATGTAGATTGTGTATTGTGCAAATAGACGTGAAATCTCATGAAATTTTACGGTGATATTTGAAATCAGTGTAGCTCTCAAATCTTTATTAGATTGTGTAAAAATCAAGGTAATAAGTTTGAGTATGTTTACGCTGAACTAATAATCTATGGATAGTATCCTATAGAGAAACCAAATGATTGACTAAACTCAACAAGTGGACATCCAAGACAGATATTTTGGTGAATATTTGGGTTAACTATCTCAAACACTGGTCGATCCCCATTCAGAAACAGTTAAAGCAGGATCAGTTAGTTGTCTCAAGTTTAGAATACGATAATCACCTTCAGCCTAAGCAAGTTTCTAGGGCGTATTTTGATATTAAGTAGAACCTAGAGAAATATTCAGGTTCTAATTGTTCAGTTCATATCAGTATAACACGAAGTTAATAAGATGAGAAGTTAAGGGGGTTGAGATGCATAAAAAATCAAGTTCAATTCGAATGAAATAGTAGGATAAAAATGAGGGGACAATACTGAAGCTATAAAGACTGATGTATTTGGTTTTGAACTAGAATTTATGTTAAGGAGATCGATAATCCCTGACAGTTTATTACCTCAATCAGATTAGTCTACATAGTGGCACTAAACCATTATATATGGAAGTGAGCACATTCGGTACACTAGACAGTTCGTCACTTAACTATGAATTATTTTTTTAAGTGCTACAGGAACATATCATCACTACGATTTTAAGAAATATAGAACAATGGAAACAGAGATATTTATTTACACTTTTTAAGGATCATTTAAAAGTTGATCGAAAAATATAAGCAGACTCTGTCAATGGATCAACAGTTAATAAAATATTTTTAACTTCGCATTCAAACTAGTGTTCCAACAAATGCCTAAAAGGAAATAAGTAAGAAAAATAGAGACAGAAAGTGTGTGACTGAATATCCACTGAACAAAAATATACCTTCCAATTTAATTTAAAATGATGAGATCAATTTGATACTTCTTAGGAATTAGAATAATAAGAATAATTTAAATTAGAATGTTTAGGAATATTAAGCTATGAAAGAAGTGTCTCGTCAACTGAACTGTTAACTGACAAAAATATTTTTGAAACTAAAACATATCTAACCCTTACTTTCAAAGTGGTTTTGAACTGAGATGACTGAATGTTTGCAGTGATATTTTCCAAGTCATTTGTACTCGCTGATTCAGGATCCAGAGGAGGAAGATGAGGCAACAATCTTTCTTGAATATCCGGCTTATTCAAAAGTGAATGTAAGTTATCTACGTTTAAGACATCGTTTAATTCTACCTTTGCATCATTTGCTATAGAGAATAAAAACATTATCAATGATTAAACAGTATAACTGTGTAAGTAATGTAAAATAATAATAAGAAAACCAATTAAAACAACCATGTATGAATTCATTCATGGGCACTAATAGTTTACTGTTTAAAAGTTTCCAAAACCAGAAGCAGAAGTACTGGCTAAGTGCAATAAAATCTTACTCGTAGTCAATTTAACATGTGTACAGTTAGAGACTAACAACAGCAAACAGATTCGTAATGCGTAACACACCAAACCAAATACCACATAACTAGTCAAGATAGATCCTGCGATAAAATTAAACCAAACTACGGTGAAAAATCATCAGAAAGATTGGTCTCTCAGTGTTTTAATTTAATTGGAATTCATTATCAATGCATTGTAAAAAAAAATCAATACCAGTCGCACCATTTTAACTTATCCACTACTATTTTTTTATTCCTTTCTAACTCTTATTCAGAGATTATGGAATTGAAGGGTAATGTTATTCAGTCGAAGATACGGGAGGAACTTTTGAAGCATTTCAAGTCACAAGATCCAAATGCCTGTCCGTGGCCCTTTATAACGATAATGACGAATCACTGATCAAGGAACTTACTATGTTAACTGGAAAGACTTTGCAAACAGGAATATGATCATTTTATAATAAAGAGATCACCATTCCTATCTTTGAAAAAAGCCTTCTTGACTTATGCAACAGTTACTGGGGCGTCAGTATGCTCTTCATTGTTTTAAGGTTACTGGCAACAGTTATACCCCACAGATTGTACAGAACCTGTGAGTATTTGTGAGGAGCAGAATAGTTTTCGATTACAATATGGATGTATCGATCGAATCTTCAATTGTCACACTTATTACAGGTTGACGATCGCTGTTCCTTGATAATAGGGCTCCTTTTGACTCGTTGGACAGGATTGCGCTTTAAATCCAGGGCGAGCCCAAACTTTCCCGATTGTTGTTGCTGCCTTGACGTGGTGGTCGGGCCTGCCTATCGTGATGAAGCAACCGAGCTATACTGGCTGGAACAACTGTTCCTCAAGGTTCTACCATGTTAGACAGGTCGGTTGAAGAGCGGTAAGACTAAAAGCAGAAATCCCAAGGTCCGAATGCGAAGTCGTACGGCTGGCTGTACAGAGATGTGACGGCAGTAAGGTGTTCCCTTCAGACAACCAGTATAACAGCGACGCTGCCTTCCCACAAGGAGAGATGGGGTTAGAGAAGGTCGGCTCTAAAAATGGACACCTCGCCTTATCCCACGGATATCCGTTTTTGGCGGCAAGGTCTCAACAAGTACGGAGCTAGCACGAAAATTATTCACAAAAAGCTCGTGTGTGACCGAATTCAAGCAGTTGTTCCTTGGGCACTGCGGTCACGCTCTCAGGTCATTAAGACCATCTCTAACCCAATTTTCTTTTTAGGTACCTCTAAAAGAACCCTTCCACGATGTGAACAACCGGGGACTAATAACCGCCCTCATACCTCTAACAGCACTCAAGATCACTGACCGATTGTGCTTTGGGATTAGTAATCTAAGAGTATGTCTGAGTTTATTAATACCTTGAAGGCTTTATATGCAAACAACTGAAGGAAAGTGTTAGATTACTTCTCCCCATTGTTCCGGTCCAGCAATGGGGTTAGGCAGGATCGCACAACCTTTCCAACCTTCCTTCATATCGCCAACGGCAATATTCTGGAAACAGCTCTGAAGAACGTATGTGATGATGTAAATCTGTTGCTCGAAGAAAGACTTTTCGACCATGAGTACGCAGGCAAGACTGCTTTATTATCAGATGATATAATGCCATGTAAATCCCACTTCATCAGTTGGCAGCTAGTATAAATACAGGTATTTTGTATCCTATAAACACAAAGTACTTCTGAAAGACTAATAGGAGCTTGTACCTACACTCATTCTTTGTGGTGAACCTCGAGATATAGTTGAAAAGTTTGTGTATTTGGGCAGTTGTATGAGTACTGATGGTGTGTCAAGTGAGATCAGCTTATGTATGGTGAAAGTCAAAAAATGTTATACCAACTTGGGCCATCTTTTGTGTAGTTTTAACGTTAGTTTGGCTGTAAAATGTTAGGCCTACAACGCGCGCGATGGCGAGTTGGATGAAATCTAGGGGTGATCAGGCTGAAACATAGCATCAGTTTATAACATCACTGACATGGATTGAGACCTGTTGACACGTTCAGACCACATGACTGGAGTCTGCACGATAAACAAGATCAGTGGTAGCAAACGTTGGGTAAAACAAGTTAGAACCGGTCGCACTAGAGCGAATGCATTTAGTCTTCTTTTTTCCCTAGATATTGAGTTCCAGTATTTTCATACATACCCTTTTTAAACCACAATCTTTAATACGTAAATGTTTACACTATCATTAATTACGTTATCGTGTCAACTCCTTCGGTATTCCTCTTGTTAGTTTCATCTTTCTGAACCGATGTAAGATGGTAACTTGAATAAACACACTATTTCGTAGGGCTCTCAGTTAATTAGGAACAGTAAACGTAACCACAATGCAATATACATTATTTCCCATTCAAAAATGCTAACCATATTAGTAAATGATAATAAATCTACAAATAGATTTACTATTGTAAAAATTCACAATATATGAAACTGAGGAATATTCAAGTAAATAATTGGTTCCAATAACTTTGTCAACAATCTCTGCAATCATAAGTTAATAACTATTGTATTATTTTGGTCAAAATAAGACATGATCAAATGAGCTGTCAGTCATAAGCAACAGAGAAATCTGGCATGTGTGCATCAGCTTAATTTGCTATACCATATATCCACAGAGAAATGAAATCAAGACGAATTCCAAAATATTAGGAGTAGTAACAGTATTAGTGCTAGTAGAAAGCATTGCACATAAAAAATATAATTCAGGAAGGGAGAACGTATTCGTGAAATAAAAAGCAAAATATGCTTTTAAAACCTAAATCTAAGGGGATATGAAACGAGAATTCACCTGAACAATGAACCTGAGATGGATTACGAGCAATGTTACTCTGAGTTGATAGAGATATTCACGAAGACCCCAACCGATTAATGTGCACCTACATTATTTTTAGAGGGTTTACTACTTCACTGAGCTTTGGAAATTTACCATCCGCATGCAGTCAACGCTTGTTGACGAAATAATTTGAATGGCTGATTTCATCATCCGGTTTTACGATACGTCTTATGACGTCAAGGATGATTTAACAAAAAATCATAATCAGTGAGTTCGGAGTAGTTAAAACAGCGTATATACGATTTTGATATTTACTTTTGGTGAAAGTATGTGTGAGTTATGTAACAGTTCTTTTTTGTTAACTAAATTTCGAAGTAACTAAATTTCTGCAGTATAAAAGTTTGGTCAAGTTTTTCGTCTATAAAATTAAACCATTACATACATGAACTCCGCATTCCAGTAGAGATTGATGAGAGGATATTTCTCAAGTCCTGAAGTTGTATTTTCCCAGCTTCAAGTCGTTTATCGGTTGTCTTTAGGAAAGAATGGAGAAAACATCTGTTATGAGAAAGTAACATCAGTTGTGACTATCAAAAACGTTTGTATGTTAACTCTGAATCCCTTGAAAAAACAAGAATACTCATGACCTCTAAACTAGTGAACAGACTATTTGCCGATGAACAGTATTATATTTACATCACTTCTATGTGTTATTGTATTGTTTTAACAATTAGCTTTGAGATGTAGTATATTACCTATACTTTATCGACAAGTCTAGTACCCATTTACAAATTTTTTATTAAATGACTTAAATGTTTTGTTTTCCTCGTCTGAGATACACTGAAATACATAAGCTAACTTAATTGGATGTGTAGTAAATCAGAACACAAAAGGACTATAGATCTACGGTAATTTACTAATAACTTGGTACGAAACTCTAGGTGTTTATACTTCATAATACTGGATGGCATAATGGACTGATAAAAAGCTAACGGGGAAAGCAGAAAACCCTGATGAACACCACTTGAGATAACCACTTGTGACAGTTCACCATAAGCTCTGACTCGATCAGTAGTGTTCGATTAGAGAGGACGTACAATGTTAATGTACTTCTTTAGGACACCTTTCCTCGAAAAAGTGCCACAGAATATCACGATCAACAGGGTCGAACTACACCTTAAGGTCAAGGAATATTTGGTCTTTACATTTACGTCCACATTTGAAATCAGACTATTTTCCTCGGGTTTGCTTTTCGCGAGCTTTAGATAGACGTCAAAGTATTGAGACCAATATTTTAGACACTAGATTAGTTAAACTGATTCCTCCGTGATTATCACCAGGGGATTTTTATTCTTTCCTATAGACAGGGACGATCAGCGATCGAGACTAGTCAGATGGGATAATGTCAAATTTCTAGATTTTAGCTAGGATCTCAGCTAATCTAACTGCTAAAACTGGACCAGCACCCTCAAAAATATCAGAAGTTAATCCACTAGGCCCTTCTGCTCCCTATCGCTTTAGGTTGCTAATATACTTTTCAACCTCATTAAGAGTCAAAGGACTTACATCAATTTTCCATTCATGTTGCTTGGAGATAGTAAGTAACTGAAGTGCGGCTCAAGGTCAGTTGGACTGTTTTCTAGACTGTGTTTGAGGATTTAGGAAAACACCATTAAAAGTGCGAGGTTTGGTTAGGATATCAAACTGTAACGAAAAGGTCAGGCTGAGCGTACATGATCCTTAAATTTGAACACTTAGAATACTAAACAGCTCATTCAGACTAGTTAACTCGTACCGAGGAAAACGTTCATAAAATGTAGGTGCAAAGCTTACACATCAAATAATCCCCCGTAGTATGACTACGGAAGAATCCCGAAACGTCAATAACATATAAGGTTTAACTAGGAGCTACTGTAGGGTAAGTAAATTAAAACAATTTTACGTAACTTACAGATGGGCGTAGAGAGTTACCGCCAGTGGATGAAGTTCCTGAAGATGGTGTGGCAGTAGTCCCAATGACAGGTGTAGATACATTAGATTCATCTAGGTGTCCCGTATTTAAATGACGCCCGATTGTCACAGCATTTGCTTGAGCAGATGATCTGCAAACGAATTACAAAAAAATACTTTGTTTAATTGAGTAGCAGAAACTAAACAATATGAAGTGTTGAGTATACACTTAAAAAGCCCAGAAAACCGACTAAGTAATACTTTGAATTGTCAGTTAGCATAGTGTTAGTGTAAATCAACTATCTTAGTTTCAATCCGGTAATGATTTAACTACGACAGACAATTAGTACAGGTAATTGAGACTGCTGTAATATATAAAAGTTGACGAACGCAGAACTTATTTGGTACAAAAGACAGTTTCCTCTCTGCACATATCAACTAACTTCTCATGTGGTGAAGGCATACAGCTTTGGCTTCAGTTTACGCCACTGGGTAATACTATGATATAAATAAATCGTGGATCAAAGATGAAACTAAACATCTGCAATCGGTATACGTTATACTGTAATCAAAGTGACTGGGCTGTTGCTTCGCAACGCCACTTTTGTCCAGAAGCTTAGTTTTAGACTTTATGTGATGGGAATATACTTGTCATGAAACTAGATCTTTTAAGCAAGTCACGCAGTCTTCGAAAAGTGAATCCTTTCACTACCTAGAGATTGCAGACATCTATGGGACGCATGTGTTGAACAGGTAGAGTCGATTTAAGGTCGTGATGCGATCAGACAGACTTTGTCTCAAAACTTCGGAAAGCTTAACCATGTACTCACAGATTATTCTACTTATCTACTAGGATATACCCAAAGAAGTTCAACGGAGTATCCACACTATATTAAAACTACTAGAGACAAAAATGAGTTGTTATGCTAAGTCTAGTCAAACTTACATATCAGATTCCGAAGTTAATCCACCTCCAAGCCCTACCCCCATCGCTAAGATTGACAGATCTGAAAGAATAATTACAACTTACACAACAAAGCCAGAATATCGCTGTGAGAAAGTTGGTTAAGACTTTCAAAACGACTAAGCCAGTCACCTAAAAATGTATTGAGGTCCAGAAAATTTACTTGAGAGTGTTGTAGTTTGTGCGGGTGGAGACCTAATGTAGTCGTTTATTCTTGAACAAATGTCACTATCATTTTTTCCGTTGGGTTCCTTTGAAAATGGTTTGAAGAATAAAACTTACTTGCATCCAGATGAAAAAATGTTTGGGACCTTTGAACTTAAGGAGATAAACTCTACCCGTTGTACATTGTGGAATCTTTTGAAACTCAGCCTGTTTGGCATTAATGACGAAATTCTAACTTAATAATTTATGCGAATGGAAGTACACTTACATCTTCAACAAGAAACGTTTTGCGATCGATCCAACAGAAGTGTAACTTTCCATCCCCGGACTGATAAACATACACCCATCCCTTGCGAGGGTCAGCATGAACCCAGTTATCGTCACCAATAGTCATTTTCCCTGCTTTGAATTGCAGTAAATGACGTGTTTGAGATTGCTGAGGCCTTCCGAACAGGGCAGTCCTACCCGACATGGCGAAAAAACCTAATTTGGCGGAGGCGGCCCGCTCAAGGACACAGTCTGTTCAATACTCAACACTATCATGGGTATTCAGTACCTTACTAAATATATTAAGAAGATCCTTCAAAACACATTCAGGTATACTTGCTTCAAAAAGTAAGCAATATTACGTGCCACAAATCATACTTTAATCTACCTTTTTTAACAACATTCAAACTACTAGATATTTATCTCTAATGCTGGCGTTAGAACCGGATTCACTGAGCACTTTAGAGGATATCAACTAGTTCCGACAATTATGCGATCCATAAGGACGTTTTATATGGGTCTCTTTCAATACTTAAGGCATGGCTTTGGCATATTTATATATCCTCTGTAAGTTTTGGACGTATAACAAAGAGTGAGATTTCTTTTATTGGGAGAGGAAATTCTGTATCTGTTTTGTTACCGATGATGAATGAATTTGTTAAAAATTAGCTGAAGACTCGTGATATCGACATGTGAAAATTGAGTTTCAGAGTTACCGATGCAAGTAGCATGATTAAAAACAGAAAGCCAACTGACAAGGGACAGTTACTAAGCTACACAGAGAATGAGCAGGTCTTACAATCGCCTAAACCCGGCCTATATAGTATATAGTATACGGTCAACCACAGTTTACATCTTGGTTTTTTTTGAAAATTGATCTATGATTACGTTCCATTTAATTTGCTGCAGGTCACAAGGTGAGGGAGGAAAAGTAACTTGCACCCAATTGTAATTTTACATCGAGTTTTGTGTTCCGAGATGACTGTTCTGTTCGACGTGCATGTTTAATTACTAATCCTGTGTTCCCATTTTGTTCTCCGGACTGGCTGGGCTGGTCGTGGAGCTTTAATGGTTCTTCTGAACGACATCATCAGCACAAATGTCGGGTAGAAGCGAAATGTCCGCAGGCACACACTCGACTGGAAAAATGTGAAGATCTTGGATAAAGGCAATTCTAAAAACAACAGAGGATTTTTAGAACCTGTGCACCCAGGTCAACCAACAAGCACATTGAAATCGGTCCAATTTATCAACTATTCAGAAAAATTATGGACGAACATGGAATTGACAGTCAAACCAATCGAAGATACGACCAAAACAAAGAAGTAAAAAATGACCGGTTTAAGGTCAACAAGAACTAATCAACGTCGATGCCTACAGAACAAGCTGTGAGACATATGTGGAGAAATTTGAACAGTTAAAGTCCACCTGAATTTTGTGTTGATGATATCGTTCAGAAGGGCGATGAAAGCTCCACGACCAAATCAGCCTGCTCAGAGAACAAACTCCATCAAAATCATCCACCTGAGCAACAAATCTCCACAATTTCAAAATGCGATAAGATGGACACAACGTTTGATCTGAAATTATTAATTGATTGGTTATACAAAGACTTTTAACTGGAAAGTTGCAGTTAGTTGAAATTTAATAAAGCAGAGGATATACACACATCTCATCATGGGATTTATTTTAGCCGACTGAGTTACTCCTTGCTGGAGTGATTTCATACTTATGAATTGATCTTGCTTTTGTACATTTATTGCGTCGAAAACGTAATTTGTGTACTTCAACTTTAATTATTTAGTTTAAGGTTTTAAAGTTTCCTCAAAATTTGTTTTGTGGTACTCTTTTTTATTTGGTTGTCATACTGGTGATTATACAGTGTATTCTTGTCGACATTATACCGTTTTAAATGTTTACAGTGGTCGGCTTTACTTATAAATATGGGCAGTCAAATTTTTTTCTTCCCTGTGGAGAGAAAAAACCAATATGATAAGTATAGAACCTGTTTCCACAATATGTGTACCATTTTAAACCACACCACGTACAAAAGATGCTCGGATCATAACTCCTGTTGGCTCTGAATGTTTTACCGTTCGGGTAAGACATCACCGATCTAGAAGGCGATGAGCCCTCAGGCATGAGTTCTGGTGGCAAATGATGCGTCAATGTTGTATTTGCCGTTACATAAGTGTTGTGAAGAAACCATTTCGGGTTTCTTCAAAAATGCAATAATACACAAGTTTCAATAATGTTAACACTATATTTGCCATATTTGAAAAAGACAATAATAATAGAATATTAATAAATCTGGTCCTGTGTTATTGCGAAGAATATTGAATTGAGTTTAAAGAAGGAAAGGGAGAAAATAAAGGAATAGAAATAAAGGAGACGTGAAATCTGCAAATAGTTTAATTAGCGTGTATATGAACACAGAACAAGAATAAACGACTGTTTATGTATTGTCAAACTAGTAACAAAAATAAAATGTAAAATAATTATGAGAAGCTAACTTATTACTGACATAAGACATGACGCTAGAATAAATGTTTGCTCAGTCATAGTTTAGAGTGATGCTATGAAAGTCTCAATTAAGTGAAAAGGATAGTAGAAATAACAGATGCCTGACATTAAGAGACTTCAATGCAACCGATATTAGTCGGAAATGGATGGCCACCGCCGTATATAAACTTCCTTTCGATATTAGGCTCCCCGGTGACGTTAATCGAGCATGGTTCAGTATAGTTTGCACCCGAACCAGAAAGTTTTGATTCTAACCAAGGATTTTTGTTGTTAGACTTTGTAATCGTTCATGTGACCGGGAATATTGACTATCTAAATGTCCTTCAGCCAATATAAATTAGCAATCATGGTTCTTTTCATGTTTCATGCTTAGAGCTTGTGATATAATATACAATCAGGTTATGCGTCGCCCAAATATGTGGAGAGCAAAAATACCGGTTATAGAGGAGTACACTGTAACAAAGGACCGTTCAATCAATGATGGCTCATCAATCGGAGAAGCATGGTTCATAGTTAAAAGTATACCCAGCTTAGTAACATCCCGATTTATACCGTGCTTAGTATAACGTAGGCCAAATAACTGCCCACCACGGATAATGAAACAGGCCAAGAAACGTTTTAGACACTAAATAAAGTACTGAGATATGTTTGTTTCTACAGGCTCAAAACAGTACAGATCGTTTTACTGTAAGACTAAGAACGCTCGCAAAACGTGGATAATTAAGGCTAAATATTTACATAAAAACAAGTGGTTGAGGATTGTGAAGATAATCCGAAAACGTTGTTCTCACATACAAAGGGGCAAACTCAGAAAAGCGAAGCAACCCCACTACACTTATTGCAAGGAAATCCGTTGATATTGTCAAGAAAACTGAAGTTTTGTCAGACTGTTTTAGTGAGGCATTTTTCCCCACGATGGTGAAGGGCTAACAATCAATTATAATGGCGGGTTGTCGATGTACTTTCTGGATATGAAGAAAGGATTTGTATAGCGATTACTTTAGCATCTCAAACTAGATAAGTCTAGTGGTCCTGACGACATTACGGAATCCTTGGTGAATGTGGTTTTTGAACTCGTCCCAACGCCATTGATACATCTTTGCTGCAGTCTTATTTGCCAAGAGACTGGAACGACGTAATTACCAACCAGCTTTATGGATTGGAGAGTAGAAACTTAATCAGTAACTGTCAGCCCGTTAGTCCATCCAATGTAGTTGTCAAATCGATGGAAAAGATTATTCGTATGGTTATTCTAAACTATGCTGAAGAGTATAACTTTCTATCCATCGAACAACATGATATTAGGAAAGGCCTATCGTGCTTGATAAATCTGTTAATTACAACGGAAGATTGAGATGCAGCGAAAAACAGAAATATTTCAGTGGGTTTAATGTTCATATGTCAAAGCAAGCCTTCGACAAAATATCTCGCCTGGTCCTTAAGTTAAAGCCGGAACGTTTCGGGATTTATTATGAAATTATAAACCGTATGAGTAACTTTCTCAATGACAAGAGACAGCAAGTACTGGAGAGTGGAGCTCTTCCAACGTTGGAATCTATGAAAAATGGAGTTCTTAAAGGTACGGTCCTCGGTCACCTTCTTTTTTATGTTATGTAAATCAATTACCAGCTGTCGCAAACTAAGATGTTCTGCTCTTTGAAGATGATATAAAGAACTGCAAACCTGTACACAGTGTCAGACAGAATTACAATACAGGATGACCTAAATTCATCGGTTGAATGAATATATAGGTAGTCATCAGAAGTTAGTTCTAGCAAGAGTTTAATAATGTAAGTAAATGACTGTGATGATTCATATCACCACAAAATATGTGGAATTGTGTAACATGAAGTAATAGGCCATAAAGACCCAGGAGTCATAATCAACAGTGACCTAAAACCTACAAGTAACTGCATGGTTGCCACTGTCAAATGCTTTTGGGACTTACGGGCCATTTGTATGTTGTTTCACTAATTCAACGAAAAAATGTCTATGAAATCACATTCAACTTTTGTCAGGATACATTTGGAATATGTGATTGAGTTCCTGTCTCAATTATGAGCCGGATATGCTAGAACGTGTTCATCAGCGATGAGAGAGAATGATAAAAGGACTCTCTGACCTGCCTTATGAAAACAAATCGCGACACATAAACCTATTTCCGTAATCTCACCGCAAAATACAGGGTTATCTGATACCGACTTATGGTACATTAGACGATGATCTTAGTACCAATGTCTTATCTTTTCTTTCCATCTAGGACTAATCATTAGAGGGAACATTCTAAGAAATCTAAACAAATCGCTTACGTCTAGAGTCTTGTTTCTTTCACCGGGTAGTGAAATACTAAAATTCCATACTAGAACATCTAATATCAGCACCTTCTGTTGTCACATTCAAAGCGAGGTTAGATCTCTACACTACCAAAAGGTGAAAGGATCAATGTAGGTCGACTGATCTCCTCTCCTTACTACTGAAGACTGTTTATAAATATTATTGGATTGCTCCTGGATTAACCTACCTGGACATAATTTTTTTATGAGAGGAAGATGTACTGTGGAAACGAGGAGCAAAAGGCCTAAGGAAAATGTAGGATTGGAAAGTTAGCTTCATAAAGCCGTTTGTGAATCATATGATGTTGTTGGTAAAGATAATGCTATTAGTGTCCTCAGTATGGTTTCTGACTGGTTCATTTTGGTTCCGCTCGAGCTAGGTAAGGCACTACTTGGAAACAAACAATTAG